AAACTAAGTAATTATAAAGGACAAGAGAGCATAAATAATTTTTGGTTGGTTGGTTTATTTTACCCGACTGCATGTGTATGCTTGTAAATTAAGCAACCTGGGACTGACGGCTTTAAGTCCTCTTCTACGGACTTGGTAACAAGAATGAATGCCTTACCAAAGGGCAATAGTGCATCAACTTGGTTCCAAACCCGGGACCTTCCGGTTTTAAAAGAATAAAGTGAAATTCCAAAAAATAAAAGTGAAACAATCAAGAATATGAAAAGGAAGAAATTCCCCAGATAACATAAATCTGAAACTTTTCAAAATATTATTTTCACTTTTTTTCCGTTACCTGAAACTAAAGTCCATAATCTTTAAACACACACATGTACATAAAATGACTTGCTATTGCAAGTAACGATTTTCTTTTTTTTCTTTTTCGTTTGCAAACGTTTATCAAATATATTAATGATAGTATCAAATGATTACTGAGCTAGTCCATCAGGTAGAAAAATGTGCAGCAAATTTTTGTTGGTACAAAATGTACCATTTTATTTCATCAATAATTACAAATATTCTTTTCTCTAATGCAACACAATTCCAATGTAGATACCTTTAATTTCATCTATGGCATTTTGCTTACAGTGCCATGAGACAAGTTTTCTACGCATCATTTCATGAAACCGTCACAAGTACAAGTCCACCGACATTCAGTTGAAACCACTCCAGCAAAGCATAGAGAGTCAATGCTAATGCGTATTGACCTCTAGCGCTGTACTTTGTGTTAAGAGGCAGCAATTGCACACGTTGCACACTAATGCACACAATGAATATGATGTGGCTGATCGGCAAGTTTGACAGTAGACTCGCGATTTGAATTTTCAAATTATTCTTTCTAACATCGATAAGCTGAAAAAATTGTATTTTACTGCTATTTAGGTGTCATCAATTGTCACTAAAGTACCGATTGTGAGTGAAATCAGTCAAAATTTGTACAGTGGTGTTTGAAATGTTGAGAACCAATAGAACAGTTTTTAATACACAGCCAGGATAGTAACGCAGCTATGTGTGGTTGAAACGTGTACTACATTTAATACATGCGTCTGAACGGGTTTGTCGGTGAACTTGCGACGGTTTCATGAAACGTTGCCCTAGCCTCTCATTAGACTTCACTTCACATGATGGAGGTGTGTATATCTCTTTTGGATACAAGAGCAAATTAATTACAGGCTAGTTTGATCACCGACATAAAACAAAATTTAAATGTACATTGTGGTGGTGGTTATACTGTTTGTTTATCCTAGGTCATAGTTCTTTTTTTAGAGCAGGTATTCGGGAGGAAATAATGAATTCTTTCAATAGTGAATACATAAGGACAATAGAAACTACACAGATCTAGCAAACAATTACAAGTACAAAGAGACGTTCATACATGTATACATGACACTTGAGCTGCATATGAAATTAAGACAACAAATTTACAATCAGTTCATTCTCAACCACAACATGATGGGCGCTTAAGTCCTCTAGTTATTGGAATTGCCCTTGAGATGAATTCTGGAAAGTCTTCGCAACTTTGTTATTGGATAAGGGATGGATGGGATTTTATGTCAGGATTACATTAAGGATTAGGGTTCCGTATAGAGTTGAGTCTACGTTTGCGCCTCATGTAGAAAATTGATCACAGTGCAATTGTCGCTAGAGAACACGATCTTACAATGAATTACAAACTGTTGCTAAGATGATAACCAATATAAGATACTCTACAAATACAATCAAGGACATTCATAAATGAATAACAAAATCAATACACAGGACAACATGAGAAACTTTGCCACAAACTGATAAATACATGTAATGCGTAAACAGAAATTAGGATGTCGAAACACAATTCTTCTTTCGGTTACTCTAAGGGCATTCAAGGCACAATTATGGCAACATAAAATAATTCAAGCTAAGCTTTAAATTCATCCCTTCTCTTTTAATTTTGTTTAAATGCAAAGCAATTTAATAGACAAGAACGGGACACATTATTATGGAAATGGAATGATTATGGCTGTATTACAAGTAATTGATAGAACATTGATGAAACAAGAAAACATGAATAACAGCTTGAAAAAAATCAAGCTCTTGAATAACTGATTCAGAAGAAATATGTACACATTACATTCTCAAAGTCAAGAATCATCTCATTACTAACTGTTAGTTCATCCATTGTTCATAAACTTTTTTGATAGATCAACTGCCTGTACTGCAACATCCTAACCTTAGGAGAAAAGTTTGAGTTCTGGAAAATATGAAAAAGTATTTTGAAGCTTTCTCATTCTTTCTTTAATATGTCAAGTTTGGAAGAAATATCCCCTGAAAAGGATTGCTATTCAAATGCCCTCATATAAATACGAAATAGCTGAACAGTTTGGTCCAAACAGTTCACGCCACATGTGTGTGTAGTCCCATAATGCATTTCTGTGTCCAGTGGTTGTTATTTTCAGCAAGATCATGCCAATATCTTTTCAATTTGATCATTTTGAAACCTCACAGAACACATCATTTCTTATGTCCTAAAAGATAAACTTTCCAACCCACTTCCAGAAAGTTTCTTGCACGATAAATATTTTTGGAAACACACACACTCACAAATAATGAGTTGACATATCTCAGATAAATGGATGATACTAAGTACTGATTTCTGTGAGAATGATGATGATAATATGGAATAGAAAACTCACATTTTTGTTGTTGCACTTCACCTATATTTCATCTAAGGAAGAAATTTCATTTTGAATATCCATTCAAATTTGCAGCCATGAAAACAATATTCTAATAAAATTTAATTTTAAACATATTTGTGGCTTACAACCAGTAAATAAGATCGATTGATTGATCTGTATTGAAAAACAAGTCAGAAAAAAATCTTGGAACCAGCGGGACTTGAACCTGCATCTACTGCTTGCCGGGCAGCGACTCTACCACCAGGCCATCACTGGTCCATGGCACAGTCACGATGAACTAGAAACAAATACCCAAGCTCTCCTGATTTATTCTGACTTATCAATATTCATTAGTCCGCCATAGGACAATAACTTTTTATAAATGTAATGAAATATTCATTGCGTTATCAGCCTTGATCAACGATTTTCAAAGTGGGAATTGAAATGACAACCAAATTGGATTGTTAAGTGGTTGTATTCACAGTAAATCCTGGCCATATGACATCCAACACTCAAATGCCTAACATCAAAATAAGATAACAATTGCCTGGGAGATTTCATTTCAATCATTTCAGGTAATGAATAGATTGTGAATTCACACATGACTCTGGTCCCATAAATAGACAATTGTGGTTGAAATCAAAATGATAGAAAGTGATTTGTGATTTGTGATTTGTCTTTACAAAAGTAGAGTCGTGCGAAAACTTGATACACGTTTCATTCAAATCATTTCTGTATGAGATAATTCCTTCATAGCTGTGAATCGATGAAAACAAACAAAATGCAAATAATATGACGAAAGTTTATGAACTGCAGGATTATCATTTTACATACATTGATCAAGTAAACATAACCTAGCTGGGGTAAATGTAAAGTCATTATAATCAATAATAATACCAACATTGAAACGCAAATAACAGCTTTCATCTTTGCTGACAAATAATGATCCATGAGAGAAAAATTTGTAAAAGACATTAGATATTTACAAAAGTAGGCTGCATATGCTTACGGAGTTATATAAAAGTGAAACATAAACAAGCAATCTACCGGTAAACTGAAAAATCAGGTGATCACATAATTACGTCAGGTGATCACATCTGTCACATGACCACAATACAAATTGCCACATGGCATTCCTGAGAGAAACAAGTCTATTGTCAGAAGTACTTTTTTCTGGTTGCAGCTAAGAAGTGCGCCTGGCTGTGGTCACGCAAATAAACTACGACCATTTGAGAATGAAGTCAAAGAGATAATGGGTGATCCGGAACCCTTTCTGAAAGGGTTCGAGAAAGTTTCACTACAAAATCGAAGAACAGCATTGCAAGATGACGTTAACTGAAACCGAAGGAACAAGTGTTAATGCGGATACTTGCAAGGCTGCTAAAAACAAACTTTAACATAAGATTAACTTTTAGCTTAAATCCATAGTAAATGAATAACAAATGAAATGCACATTACAAATACCAAATGAAAGTTATGCAAAACCTATCTGACAACACGACAGAACATAACAGAATGTCTTTAATGAATGAATTGTTCATGACAAGCAATTTTCCAACTTGTACCAAATTAATTAATGTGTGTAACTATTCAGAAAGTGGATGTTATTACGATTTTGCAATGCTGTGACTATTCAGTGCAGATGTGCAGAACATTTAGACATTGACTCAAGCAGAACATCATTTTCCACTTGAATAAACATAAAAACATAACACTAATTTAGAGGTATATTCTGGAACAATAAATTATCTTTACAAAACTACAATTCAAAAGCACAATGTTATCTCGAGTACCTATTTCACTTCACAATACGTGGCCGTTTGATTGTCTCCTTTTTATATCCTATAATGCCTTACTCTCATAAGAGGGAGATAGAGAAAGGGAGGAATAGAGAGAGAGAGAGAGAGAGAGAGGGAGGGAGGGAGAGAGAGAGGGAGGGAGAGAGAGAGAGAGAGGAGAGAGAGAGAAAAAGAGAGACAGAAAGAAAGAGAGAGACAGAAAGAGAGAGAGAAAGAGAGATAAAGAGAGAGACAAAGAGAGAGAAAGAGAGAAAGAGAGAGAAAGAGAGAAAAAGGGCGAGAGAAAAAGGGAGAGGGGAGAAAGAGAGAGAAATTGATGGGGAGATAGGGAGAGAAAAAGAAAGTGAGAGGGGGAGATAGGTAGAGAAAGAGAGAGGGGAGATAGGGAGAGAAAGGGGTAGAGAGAGAGAGAGAGAGAGAGACGTAGAGAGAGAGAGAGAGACAGAGACAGAGAGAGAGAGAGAGCGCTTGTGCAGGGGGTGGTTAACTTGAGCTGAAGCCTTTCTCAAATTCAATTCCTTTGAACAGCCATTCTGTTTATTCACCCTCAACAAACCCCTTCAACCCAAACTTAAATCATACCTTACTGGCAACATTCCAATTTTAATGCCTCAAATCGATTTGTTTAAATACCCCTCACCAACTCTACATGTACATGTACCTATAAAAGTGGAAAACTGTACACCTATATACACATCCGATTTATACACGACAAAATAGGTAGTCTGGAAAATAGAAATGGTTTTGGAAATTCAACTGCCGGTTCTGCCGAGATTCAAAGTGAATTCCTATGATGAAATCAACATTTGTTATTGTTTTAGTCAATCTTCTTTGCATAATAATCTCCATAACCTTCTTGGCCATATACTCTGGATTAATACTAACAACCAATCCACAGTCCCATACATTGACAAATAAGTTGATTCAATGTTACTTAATACCTGAATAATGATAACAAGTAAACTTCATAGATTATCTTTGAATGAACTCTGTAAACACCTCTGATAAAACGTGACAAGAGGTTGCCAAAGCAGGTTTCTACTAAATCTCAAATAAGTTCAAGTTTATGCTTGTTTCATTAATGCTTTGGCTATTGGTTGCCAAGTCATTTATGATTATTTTGACTAGATGCTGGGTGTACCCACTATAATTACAAGAGAATTTGTCAACCATTTCTGAGATAAGAGAGTGTTCGTGGGTGACCCAGCAATGTCATCCGATGAACTCGATATTTATATTCATAAACTCAGGCCCTATATATGCATATAAATTAAACAAATGATGGTTCTCGGCATCAACTGCGACTTAACACTTTGTATGCAGCGGTGTACTGCGGTCTAATTTTAATGCATCTTCTAAAATATTCACAGGAAGATAGACTGGCAGGGGGATCATTTTACTGATCCCTCATATATGGGAGCTGTACTAGTCCTAACCTACAGAGCAAAGTGGACCATGATAAATCGAGGAGGTAAAACGCAAGGAGAGACTATGTGTCTAGACAACCCACATCCATTAGAAAACAGTTCCATAAAAGTGGATATAATGTATCGACATCCCAGAGGGTTGTACTATATAAATTCTAAGGCAATTTTTTCGATATTCAACCCTGGTTTCCTGTGATTGTAAACAATTATTATTCACTTGATAAACCAACAACAACAACAATAAACAACAACAACAGAACCTCTCTATGTCACACCTCTTACACAATTTTCGTTGAACCCCGTTTTAATTCCCTGGCGTGAATACCGGTAGCTTCTCCAACTCTTCCTTGTCCTTCTCTGTGTCGTCACGGGCGATGAAGAGGGAGTGGCCAGCGCCGCAAGTCAGGTGGTGGACGTAGATGTTGTCAAGAGGGCGGGCTTTCTTGGCGACTGTCGAGGACTTGGAGTCGGCCTCTCCGTAGGCCAGCTCGCCGTACGTCGGCGATGGTCCCCAGCTGATGATGGCATCGTCGGCTGCGACCACGATGGAGTGATTGCTGGTAGGTAGGGTTGGAGAAGGGTTACATAATGGTTATTTCATTTCAAAGCACATCTGTACTAGTTTGGCTAGGAGGGATTAGACCACACAGCGTGGTAACTGACAGGTGGCTATCTTATCAACTCAGCTCTCAATTGGCATAAGAAAAAGAGGATCATGGTGGACCAATGGTCACTGATTAGACATTGTTTTCTATATAGAGGGAGCAAGTAGCTACAAGTAGTACAGTGGGCCTTTAAATTGAATCACAAGGATAACAACTTATATGGGTGCCTTCTTTATCCCAATATGAAGCAATCAAAAGCAAGTCTGCATGACTGTAATCTATTCATATCATTAGGAAGTTAGAGACAAACTATTCTACTTACAATATACATTTATAAAAAAATGTTAAAGAGATTTTGTATTTCTCGATCAATTTTATAGAGCGACAAAATCAGACTGACAGTACTGCCGACAATATCAATACCATCATGAGGATAAAAAAAGAATTATTATTTCTCAATCAATTCTGTAAAGCAATTTAATTAGCAATTCAGACTGACTATACTAGCAACTACTTTCAATAATATTTGGTTAAAGGGAAACCCAGGGTTTCCCCTCAAGCACGCCCCCCCCCCCTTGAGTAAAAAAGAAGGGGGAATTCAGGGGAAAATGGCATCTAACAACATTTCCCCCCTTTTGAGCGAGGAAAAATTGGGAAATAATAGGGAGAAATCAGGATAAAATCGGGAAGAAGAACAAGAAAAAAAACAAAAGGGGGAGAAAAAAAAATCAGGAAAGAATCAGGGATTTTTTTTTTTTAATCGGGTATTTATCAGGCCTGAATATTTACCTGCAACCAATGCTTCTGACGTTCCATCCGCTAAGGTCTTGGACAGGCTTGGGGTACATGGTGGCTTCACCCGTTGTCTTGGCTTGACCCCAGAAGAACACCTGACCTGTAAAACAACAACAACGAAAACAAACGGTTGACAGTGGCACCACGATGCAACGTCACTGGTTAAACAGTCAAATCTGCTTTAGTGACCGCCTGTCTACAGAGACCACCTGTCTACAACAAGCACATTTTTTGTTACTCTTGAAAATGGTTTCTCATTGAAACATGTAAAGGAGCCTGTCTACAAGGACCACTTTTCGTGTTTCCCTTTGGCGGTCGCTGTAGACAGGTTTGACTGTACAACAAGTGCTTCGATGACAGTTACCCCATGGTCAATATCGTACATTATACAACTCACTCCCAGATCCTAATCAAATGATTGGTCATGTGCGGTCACGTGTGATTCATTTATTGAGCCTATTACACTCGTTTTCATGAAAAGGAGTGCAATATTTTCCAGTACTATTGAACTCGTTTTCAGAGCGCAGGAGTGCGCGTAGAGTTTAGGGCGCTTAATACTGTGTGAGCATGAGCCTATTCTTGCGCAGCACTATGCGTAAATGGGTATAGAGGTAATTTGTGCGCTTGCTATATCTATAGCTATGTGCGCGCACTAAATTAAGCCTTATTAAACTTGAGATTTATTTATCAGCCATATACTGTCACAAAACATTCTTGAATGAATTCTTTTTACATCAAATGACAAGGATCTAGGAGTTTCGTTGTATAAAGCAAATGATGCATGTTTTCATTCGTTCATTATACGATCTATCTGCCCTCGTTGATGCTGTGTGTATCTATCGCACTTAGCTTAACGGCTTCGTGCTATAGATACACACAGCCTCAACTCGAGTGCGGATAGATTGTATAATGAACTCATGCGCATGCATCACTTGTATACTAACTCACGTTGGTGTCTTGGTCTAGTGGATACGTCACCCAACTGTTATTCACATGGTTTATGGTAAGAGTACTGCAGCAGCACTAATGTCCTTTGGTAAGACATCGGTTTCCATTTGCGACTCTCCACCCAGGTACATTGCATGGGTAAGTGATTGGAACTTATTCCTTGAATGCTTTCCAGTGCCTCAATTAAATAACCATGCACAAGTTCAATACAGATGCAAATAGACCCATAAGTTTGTGTCTTAGCACCTTTGTCCCCGATATAAGCAACAAGAGCTTATACAGAGTAACCTGCTTCAGTGACAACCTAAAGTCCACCTGTGCACAAAGTTCCAATGTTTGTGACCCTTGGAAAAAGTGTTCTGAATTGAACTCTGCATAAAGTTAACCTGTACATAAAGACCACATTTCTTGTCTCCCTTGGGTAGTCTTTGTATAAATGTTTCACTGTATCAGTTAAAGGAGAACTAAACCCAAAGAATAACTGTAGTTGTTCTGAGATATTTATTGTATTCTTGCCCATCAATCTACAAGATTCCCCACCAAAGTGTATGATAAAGGCATAAAGCAAAAATACGGTAGTTTCTCAGCAAGACACGCGCAATTTTCTTGATTGCATGACCTACTACATGCATGGGGAGTCGTTTGTCAGCTAAATGTATTCAAATTTATGGATGCTTCCTTCCTTGAAAATTTAGCAAAAAGGAAGTAGATTTTTCAACCACATGTTACAATTGTTACCATAATATATATTTTTCACCAAATGTAATTTTTACCTTCTTGGCTATGATTTTCCCTTATGGAAAAGTAAAGGTTTTGTTATTGAATTAAAAAGTCTTTCCAATTATAGATTGGTGCATGATGCATGGACAACTGCCTGGTACGTCACATTTTCAAGAAAATGGCTGCACCCATGTCATGCTAAAAGGCATTACATCATGCCAAGAAATCTTCATTTATATATCTCTTGTACACGTTCGTAAGATTTATTGTACATCAAAAGGCAGGAATTCATCTTGTTTTTTAGAATACCTTCACTTATTCTTTGGGTTAGTTATCCTTTAATATCGGCTAAATGCGACAGAAAGAAAGCCCTATGGTTGGTTACCTTGCTCTGTTACTACCATGCAGTAGCTCGACCCTGCGTTGATCGTTTTCGCACCCTTCAAAGGCATCTCAAAGAACTTGACGCTTCTTGGGACAGGCTCGTCATCAGGTTTCTGGTGACCGAGGCGACCGTAGCCTCCGAAGCCCCATGTGAATACCCTCTTCTGCATATCCATGGCGACCTAGAAAGTGGAGGGAGAAAGTTTTGCATGAAGGGTTTTGTGGATAAATTGGGATATCCTGTACTTTGAGTGAAACTTCATAGATGACAATACAATTCTATTGAAATATTCATGGTTTGTAGTTTTGTGAATGCATGGAAAGGAAATGCAAATTTAAATACATAAAGGTTACATAATCAATTGCAAGATAATACAAAATCCTATGGATATGATAAAGAAAACTAGGGTCTTATACAAGCAATAATAATAGTAATTAAACTTTCTTGTTTTTATATTATATATCTGTTAAAGGGATTGGGTAACTTTGCCTCAGATTCTAAAAAAAAATCCTGGATTTTGCTAATGCTTCAATATTAGACTATATCACAGAGACCGATAACACATAGGGCCATGCATCTCAGATTCAACATTTTAAACGATGCCTTTAAGGCCATTATGGACCATGGCCAGTGGAAGAAAACAGATGAACAGAAAAGAGAAAAAATAATCAGGATAATTTTCCCCACTTCTAGCTCACTCACCGAGTGGTTGTTCCCGCAGGCGATATCTTTGATGACGGTGCCTTCCAGGTATTTCTTTCCTTCCCGTCCCTTTTCTAAGAAACATGTGACCTTCTTGGGAGTTGACACGCATTCTGATGAAAGCTTGCTGGCGGTCACACTGTACTGCCCATTTGTGTTGTGACCTGTGTACATGTAAATGCAAAAAAAAAGGATAAAGGCTATGATCTAGCTGAAAATAAAAAGTTCACGTAAATTTGCAAGTTGTCTAAAAAGAGCCATGGAGTACCTTATGTATTGTCTGTCTGGAGCCAAGATGAAAGGTATATAAAAGAGAGAGAGAGAAAGGGGGAGAGAGAGAGAAAGGGGGGGGGGGGGCTGGGAGAGAGAGAGAGAGAGAGGGAGAGAGTGAGATAGACAAAAAGATAGATAGAGAGAGAAAGAGATATAGATAGATAGATAGGGATAGTGATAGAGAGAAACAGATAGAGAGAGAGATAGATAGAGCAAGAGACGCAGCTGAACCTGTTTTGTGCACTCACACATCTGTTGTTTTTTTCTTCAATGGTGTAAATTGAATATAAATGAATTGTTTTGTTCAAGTCTGCACACAAACAACAACAACAACAACAAAAAGTTGGTAGAGCAGTGGTCTTGTAATCCGGCGACCCGGGTTCGAAATCAAGGCGATTCGCTAGTGGCCTTTGGTAAGGCATTAATCCTCATTACCAGGTCCCTCAGAGAGGACCTAAAGCCGTCGGTCCTCTGGGTGCTTATTAACAAGCATTTATGCTTTCTTAGCAGTCAGGTAAAATAAACACCACAACTACAAAATCATGTAATCTGTAAAAGCAGATTGTCTCACCTAACTGGCTGTATTCCTGACTGCCGAATGAATGAATAACACCTTTACAATCCAGGATCATGCTGAAGTCTGCTCCACACGCTACCTTGACAATGGGTGAACCGTAGTAGTTAGGCTGCAGGACAGAGACATTGGAAGAAGAGATCACAAGTCAAGAGACATAATTTAGTGTGTTTTATATAAATAATTTTAAGAAAGAAAAAAAATCTCATATACATCATAGGATATGAAAGTTGATAGTGCCTTCTTTTAAAAAAGACAATGTTTCCATACTCATTTTTACCATACTCATTTTCCCCATTAGACTGTAGTGTTATAAAAACCGTTGGGAAAACAGTTATTGAAATTTCAAATTCCAATCATAAATATCTTGAAAATCAGACAGGTGATCGGCTTGTAAAAGTCATAGGATTCCTGACTGACCTAAAGGTTTATAATTATGGTTGCAGCATGAGCTAAATCCAGGATTTTGTTTAGAATCTGAGGCAAAGATACCCAATCCCAATAATGGGCTGCTCTCTAAAATGTAATCAAGGATGACTGAGCATTGGTCATATTCTAAAAACATGTCCAACTGGGCTATGCCCAAGTTTTGAATGAAGTTACTGTGTGATTACATCCAATTGGAATGAAGACATTCAACCGAACACTGGTTTGAAACTCCATTTACCGGTACTACCAAACTTGGGCAGAGACAGATATTGACACAAATCTGGAAAAATACAACATTTCAGCTGTCCAAGGCCAGATTTTATTGATCAAGGTGTCAAATTAAAGAAAACATGATAGGCTATAACAAATATTGAAGACAAAATATGTACTCATTGTATATACGACTGAATATGGGTTTCCTTTTGGTAAATCATATTCTCTGCTGCTGCATGTGAGATTTGTATACAAAACAACTACATGTACAATGTAGTAATTCCCCTGGTACTTTTAAACACCATATCCGGTGTGTGGGATCTAACTATGATACAGTACACATGGAAACAGAAGAGACAATTTCCAGGGTTCAGTGACACAAAGACATAACTCCATATCTTGCCAAAATGAGTATTTGATATCAAAATGTTCAGAAAAATGTGGGCTATCCAGGAAACACAAAGATTTAACTCCACCCAATACCCCATTGAAGGCAATGGCTAGTGAAACATAGAGGCTCAAGTGCTCGGTGACACATTAACCACTTATTCTCAAAATGGCCTAAATGGAGTAACGTCTTTTTATCATACATCAACTCACCTTGCACGGTGTTCCTACGGACGAGCTTTGAACTCCGATTCCGCACTGGCCCATTCTGTTATCACCAAACGCAAACACGGTTCCATCATCTGTAGGTAGGCAAGGGGGGGGAATTGGAAAGGTCAGGAAAAAGATCTTTGGGGTCTTGATACTTTATCTGGAATCAAAGGTCTATAACATTAATCTGGGGGGTGTTTCACAAAGACTAAGATCGACTTTCAGTTGGACTTAACTATGGCAGGACATCCATGCCACTGTTGGCTCTCACCATTAACTGGCATTGGTCTCTCAAGGGACGTACAAATCATGGTCACAAATCCACAGAATTTATATCATTTTGATAATTTTGATAAGGAAAAAATATTATCTACAGATCATAATGGTGAGAGGAAACAGCGCATGAAATTACATAATTATGAATAATCACGACAAGCCATAGTTTAGATTTATAACAGTATGGACTACAGGTACAGGTACCAGCGACAATACTGAACTCCATTGGTTGATCTATAATGGCTAATTCACCTGTTAAACACATTGTGCGGTTGAGTCCATTATTGAATCTCCAGTTCACCAACTGAACGAATGCGCATATATTTACATAATTATGTATATTCATGATTAGCAATAGTTTAGATTCGTAACAGTACGGACTACAGGTACAGGTACCAGCAACAATAGTGAGCTCCATTAGCTGATCTATAATGGCTAATTCACTGGTTAAACCCATTGGCCCGAATTCACAAAGGAGGTTTGTCATCAAACCTTGGTTTTCGTACGTCATATGACGCGTTTTACGCGTTTTTTACAAACCTGGTTTGTAAAGAACAAAAGGAGGTTTGGCGAAACAAAAGGAGGTTTGAGCTCAAACCTTGGTCTGAGCTCAAACCTTGCTTTGTGAATTCGGGCCATTGTGTGGTTGCGCCCATTATTGAATGGATTATTGAATCTCCAGTTCACCAACTGAACGAATGTATATATATTTACATAATTATAAATATTCATGATTGGCAATAGTTCGGATTCGTAACAGTACGGACTACAGGTACAGGTACCTGCAACAATACTGGGCCCGTCTTACAAAGAGTTAATATCAATTTCAACTAATAAGAGATAGGAGACTGCAAACTTGCAATTGATTGGAGGACTTAGGATTGATTTGGATCAATCGCAACTCTTTGTAAGACAGGGCCCTGAGCTGTAATGGTTAATTCACCTGTTAAACACATTGTGTGGTTGCGTCCACATGCAGCAGTCACAATGTGATGATCCTCTAGTCCCTCTACCAGCGTGGGGACGTCTCTCCGGTAGTCGTCTCCATGCCCAAGCTGCTCTCTGTCATTACGACCTGGTGGGGGGGGGGGGGGGGGGGGGGGGGGGGGGGAGGAGAATGAAAGGATGAAGTGAATTAAGCAAGTCATGATTAATCATAATTATGATTAATTTATGACTAATCATGCAAGCAAAGATCGTAAAAAATTATGCATTTTTAATCTGTGTCACAAAAATACACTTTCCTAATACAGTCAAACCAGCATTAGTGACCACCTGTCTACAAAGACCACATTTGTTGTCTCGCTTGAAAATGGTTTCTCATTGAAACATGTACTACTGGGGTCTGTCTACAAAGACCACCTGTCTACAAAGGCCACTTTTTGTGTTTCCCTTGGGTGGTCGCTATAGTCGGGTTTGACTGTATATCATTACAGATTTGTGACACAGAGACACTACATGTACACCTGCCTACAAGAATCACATTCTCAAAGCTTATTTATTAATAAATAATTTGAGAAGTTTGAGGTAAAGTGTTGGGTCCAAGCCTGGTTGGGTCAAAAGTTGAAGTTAAAATCTTGGTTGGTGCTATAACTTGACCACCGATGATGATACTGTGGAAAATATGAGAGGAACGTACAACATTTCAATCACAGAGCCTTTTATACAACACATCATGGTGAAAAATGCAGAAATAAAATCAAACAAACAAAAATAATGCCTCTGCCTCTGGCACCACCTTTGGTGGCGGAGGCATAAAAATCATCTGGGCATTTGATTGGCCAAATGGGTACACTATCGATTAATGAGCAAGGGCATCAAAAACCAAAATGTTTACTAAAATTCCCCTTTTATCTGAGATAATGATGATTGTGAGTGTTATAGATAATAAACATCTTTCTTTTTTTCTTCTTCTTCCTCATTACAAGAAGGGAAAAAAAAAATTCCGTGAAAGATGCAGTGTTTCATACAACATGGTCTGCTAAAATAATTTCTGTAAATATTACGTCATGAAATAGTTTTACCATCTTACCGATACGATAACCTAAAACCTTTTTGTATACTATTGGACCAAAGTCTCCACACCAAAAGAGCCAGTTCTTACCAAATGTCATTGCTTTGCCTTCCTCTGTGATGATAACACTGTGGCAAGAGCTTGGTCCTGAGAAGACGTTCCTAACCCGGATCCCTTCCAGCGCAGAGAGCCGATGCGGTCCCCAGAGGTTCCTACCGCCAATGATAGGTCTGCCTAAAGGTTGACATAATATAGAAATCATAATAAATGATAATAGTAGTATTGATTGATATTTCTATGGTGCTTTTATCCGTCTGGTGCTCAAGTCATTCTAATATTACCCTTGCTCTGACAAGGCAACCCTTTCTGTGTTTACAGCATTCAAGGAATTCCTTGCTATTGGTACACATTGAATACCTGGGTGGAGAGTGGAAAATAATGGTCAATGTCTAGCCAAATGGACGCTAGTGCCGAACAAGGTTTTGAACCAACAACCTTCACATCTCCAGGTCAAGTGTTTAAACCACTCTTACTATGAGTGACAAAAAATGATTTTCATTACTTGGACTGAAGCTTAAATTTGAGCGACTGTTTCTTAAAAGCCAATGTAGACTGATAACATGTGATTATCATGACTTGTGGTAGTTTGGTTTAGCCTAGACTGGCAATCTGTAAGTAAAACAGCTAAAAAAAACAGATGAAAACTACATACTCTGAAAAACAACAATGTACACTACACCTGACTCACATTAATATTGCAAGATGATAAACATGGCCTGGATTGGAATTTGTTTAGTGTAAGAACTAGGAATTTGAACCATGGAGCACAATTCACCAAAACATGTGTCACAGAACAACGACATGGTCACAGAATAAGTGTCACCAGATTATGTGTAACGTAAGTTCACAGGGGCCCAAATTCACAAAGCAAGGTTTGAGCTCAGACCAAGGTTTGAGCTCAGACCTCCTTTTGTTTCGCCAAACCTCCTTTCGTTCTTTACAAACCAGGTTTGAAAAAACGCGTAAAACGTGTCATATGACGTACGAAAACTAAGGTTTGTCGACAAACCTCTTTTGTGAATTCGGGCCAGTGAGTCCTGTATATCTCACTAAAGAGGTTCATCTGACTAGTGATGCAATATTGAAAAATCATTTGATCTTTATATTCACAATCTTGCTGTGTGGCAAGCTTCTAAAGACCTTCAACTAATTCTGAAGAAGCGTGCCAGAACAAAATTAATTTTGGAAATATACTGATTTCTGAATAAGAGTGAGCGTACTTGCAGCTGCTTTGGTAAGTTTGTGTCTGCCGATCAGATCCCAGTTAGTTCCTCCACTGAACAAGAGGGTACCAACAAAGGGAGAGTCCTTCAATTTCTGGAATAAAGAACAAAGAACAAAAAAATGAGATGAATTTATAATAGTGCACATGTACATTATGTACAACCTCAACTATAGTTTCTCATGTACTCAAAGCCCCACTGCACTACTTACAATTGTATAGCTACTTGCGCCCTCTATATAACAAACAATACATAACCTGTCGGTCCCCCATGATCCCCTTTTCCTTATGTTAATTGAGAGCTGATTTGATGAGATAACCACCTGTCAGTGATATAGACACTATGAAAATGGCGGACAAAGAAAGCGGACAAAATATACAGTTCCTCAGGTAGACACAGGAACATCCCTTCACTGCTATTATGTAAAAATGTGTTTAACAGGTGAATATGCATGTGACACCTGTTCCACACATTTTTACATAAAAGCAATGAAGGGATGTTCCTTTGTCTACCTAAGGAACTGTATATTTTGTCCACTTTCATTGTCCGTCATGTTCATAGTGAGAGTAGCCTATAGAACGCCAGGCAAGTTTTTTTAGGTTGATTTTATATATTCTTGCTATACACAAATTACTGTGAACCTGTCTATAAAGACCACCCAAGGGAGACAAGAAACTTGGTCTTTATAGGCAGGTGGTCTTTACAGTATGTACATTGTATAGGTTCCTTTAGTGCATGTACAGTACATGTTTCAATGAGAAACCATTTTCAAATGAAACAAAAAACGTGGTCTTTATAGGCAGGTGGTCTCACTATGAACATGACCAACAAAGAAAGCGGACAAAATATACAGTTCCTCAGGTAGACAAAGGAACATCCCTTCACTACTATTGTGTAAAAATGTGTAGAACAGGTGTCACATGCATATTCATGCATATGCATATTCATGCATATGCATATACCTGTTCTACACATTTTTACATAATAGCAGTGAAGGGATGTTCCTTTGACTACCTGAGGAGCTGTATATTTTGTCCGCTGTCTTTGTCTGTCATGTTCATAGTGTCCTTACAGTATGTATAGATTTCTTTAGTGCATGTACAGTACATATTTCAATGAGAAACCATTTTCAAGGTAAACAAAAAATGTGGTCTTTGTAGACAGGTGGTATATCCCCCTTTTCCCCCCTCTTCTAAATGAATAAAAAAATTACTATAAATCAATGTTTTTGAGCAGTAGGCTTCCATAGATTGGATAACTCATCAAAATAATGGGTATCAAAATCTTCAAATTAGGAAAAAAGAACTACATGTACTTTAAACTTTTTTAAATATCTCTTTATTGATCACAAAGAAGATATACTTATTAAGGAATCAGGACTATAAACAAAAATGGGTATTCAATGTTATAAAAAGTAATGAAATAATTACTGTAACTTACAAATAACAAAATTTATTTTTTCTTCTAAAGCAATGATGTAACATGTTCTCATACAATTTCTTGTTTAGAAATCAGATACGACATTACAGCAACAATGACAACAAATAATACAAGTAAAATGAAATACACATTGTATTCGTCAGTGAAAAAAATTTGCAGGGGCTCAGGGCGGTTTAGCCCCTGAAATGCCCAAAAGAGCCCCCCGGAAATTTGCATAGAGTTCAATGCAAACCAATATTTTAGAGTGCTATTTTCATTCACTTGAGCTTGAAAAGTAGCCCCCCAAAATAAATATTTTTTCCCTGGTATTCGTGTTGCCAATTTGATTTAATCAGCCCTTTAGAATATCAATGATTGATGGGTCAACATGCACAAGCGTACTTGAAACATTTGTACATATACTCCTACACAGCGACAAGTAGATGTACCTAGGCCCCTAAACCCTCTTTCAGCCAAGCTGAGTCACTAAGTACCATAATTCATATTTCCCTTCTTCTGGCGGAGATCCCTTTCAATTCATTAGATCGTATCAATATATGGAAACGGGCTGGATACGAAGAGGCACAAGTGCATTTATCATTATGGAAAATGAATTGACTAGAAAAAGGGGCATTTTGACAAATGGATAATACTGTTTATGTTTCAAAATAACCTGTTTTGGGGAGAGGAATAGAGAACGCTAACAATAACAGTAACATAATGAAATAATGATGATGATGATGATGACATAAATCAACAAAAACAATAAAATAATAAAAATATTATATTTTATTTCATTATTCATTAAAATCATCATCATCATCATTATTTGCAATTGAAAACACTTTTTGCTGGGAATGCAAGACTTCTAATATTCATCATCATCATCATCATCATTATTTGCTGAGAATAGAAGTCTTCTAACATTGTCACCCACTTGCCCCTAGTTCAGGTTTTAGCTTTTTAATAATTAAAGAAATATCTGATATCCTTCAACCATGTTGAGAATGGCAAATAACATGAGTGCTAAAGCAGTGATACATACTGTACACTTCTTTGTACGTACAGGTTCCCTATGCAGGCCTCATGTTATTGTGAAATGACTATGAATTTCTGTGCTGATTTTGAATTTGATCTATTTTGATGGCAGGAAGTTCCAATACCAATAACATGCAATTGTGATTAAGCATCCTAACTAACAACTTGCTCTTCTTTCTTGATATTTACTAAAATAAATATAATTTTGATTGCAGAGTAGAAAAAGCCAATTGAAGAATTTTGCAATTGCCCAATACCATTAATAAAATCAGTGTAAACGAAAGTGATCCCTCTTGAGCTTTAATTTTTTTTTGAGGGGCTTATATCAGATTTCAATCCAATTTTGTAATAGAAAAGTTACATCTACACTGTACATGTGTTTGGAATGGGGTTCCTAAAAATAGATTTTTAATACATGTAGATGTATATTGTAATTATGAGGATTTGTTGGCCTTTGAGAAAAAGATAAGTACTATAACTATAGGAAAAATCACAAGACTGTTCCCATTTTAGGGTTGATAATTGGCAGATTATCATTGCTTTCTCTCATACTGGAACTACACGGAGTAGTACCGGTACACATAATGAAAAAAATAACATTAAAATCACACAATTCTGATCTCACCATTCATAGATCCTCAGCCAGAGGCCAAGGAACATTTTCAATCAGGAAGATAGGAACATGTAATGGAAATAATTTAATGTTATTGTCATCAACCCTGTAAGTTGGGGCTTTGATCGGATCGGAAGATCGGAGCGATAACCTCGCACCTTTGATCGGTATTGGCAAAAAAAAATTAACAGAATAATTTTTAAGTTTTGGGCTATCAAATGCTAAAAAAACATGCATACAGTAGCTGGGATTATTCATTTAGAGTTGTTGTAGACCATGTTTGTTGATATTAAGTGCCTTTTCATGACTTTGAAATTGATGATAGTAGTCTAAGAATAGAGGCAAAACATGCGAGCCGCAATCTTGGATTTTAATGACAAATGACAAAAAATATGTGCCACCATTATAATCCAAGATGGCGGCTCGCATGTTTTGACTCGTATGTTTTGCCTCTTCTCTTAGACCAATAGACCCTATTATTAATTTTAAAGTCATGAAAAGGCACTTAATATCAACAAAAATGGTCTACAACAACTCTAAATGATAAAATAATCCCAGCTATGCATGTTTTTTTAGCATTTGATAGCCCAAAACTAAAAAAAATTCTGCATTAAAAAAAAAAAAATTCTGCCAATTTTTTTCTGCCAATTTTTTTTGGATCATTTTGATTGATCTGTCATCGAAATTTATTGTTCGATTTCACCTGATCGGCTCAAAATCGGCTACAGGGTTAAATGTCATCTATGCTAAAGCCTCTGTAAAGTGTTGGCAGCTCCAAAAATTTGCATGAACGAGAATTGTCTTCGTAAACGCGGACCGATGCGTCCTCAAAAATAAGGATCGGCCACATTTTCGGAGACGTTTCATATTTTTGATTGGCGCGCTGGCGATGCGAAAAACAGATTCTGCAATGATTTTCTTGAAGCATATTAGCCTACATTGACTTTGTACGGAGACTTTCACATTGTGAGCGATAAATCCTAGGGAAGACGGACAACCCATAAAGGTAGACGGTGAACTATTCTTACGCAGAATCTATTTTTCGCATCGCCAGTGGGCGGTTCGGTAATCCGAAACCTGCAGAGCGCTGATGAAAAAAAACGTCCGCGAAAAATGCAGACAATCCTTATTTATGAGGACTCATTTTGTCTGCATTTATCCTCATTTATGTGGACGATCCTCATTCTCGGACCAGCGCCCCCTAGTCTACTGTTTATTTGTAACTTAGTCGTAAGCGAAGAAGGACGCTGTGAGCTGCGTGCCATGGGCTTAGAATTGTGGTCAAGTTACACATTAGTACAAATATTTATCACTTTTTGACAAGATCAAGATCTAGACCTAGTCGCCTCAACCACCAAGGGGGCGCTGAGGCGCGAAGGACGCGGCTCCTTTAGGCCTTCAAGCCTGAGGGTTACCGGGGCGCCTCGGCGGGGCCGTGATCTAGCTGCGCATGTGGGCCAAGCCATATTGCCACGCCATGTATACCCTACGTGCCTAGCCTCCCATGCGCTCAATGATCATGCATGTACAATACACACTGCGTGCAATGGAAATAGAAACTCACAATGGTTTCTCGTGGTTCTTGGTTCTTGGTTTCGACGACAGTTTTCGGCCCTCCATTTTTCTTGCTTTTCTTCACCACCTTTCTCTTGCTGTCCCCTTCTTCTCCTGGCGATCTCTTCTTTCCACGAGGCATATTGGCTGTTATGAAAATAGCAGAATTCGCGACAAAAGCAAAACTGATACGGCACAATCAACACAAAGGACGCGAGGAAAGTCGCATAAAAACAGTGTGTGTATACCTAATTAGCATATGACCTCTTAAAAGGTCAAAATGTAAATTCTGAGAAAAGGAAAAAAACCGCTGTGCAGTTTCGTTTTTGTATTTCTTCTGTTTTTGTTTTTATTTGTTTATGTTTTGTTTTGTTTAATTATAGTTTTTGTTTTGTTGTTTTCGTTTTTTTTTTTTTTCTTTTTTTTTCTAAGTTGTTTTTTTTTTGTTTTGTTATGTTCTTATTCTTGTTCTTCTGATCTTTGGAGCAGTTCAAGGTGGCTCTTGAAACAATTTAGTTCCCTTTTCAGGAACTGTACCGCGTATAGCTGTATAACAACTGTATGCTTTATCATCTTTAGATGTTGAACAGGCGTTGATGAGTATTACCATAGATTAGAAGTAGAAGTAAATGTTGCTATTGTTATTGTTGCTTTTTCCCCTATATTATTATAGCCCCCACCCAATGTTTCACTTCAGTCTATTGAATTCAGAGTAATGTATGCAAGGAAGGTGTTTTAAAACCTCCTTGATGTATGCAAGCCCAGAGGCGCGATTGCGCGATGCAGGAATAATGAATCTTTCATCTCAGGCTCCTATAGATGCAATCAATGGGTAAGTAAGGGAAAACTCCGTTTTGACGAGCTGTCTCGGAATGTAGTGTTGTAACACACTTATGATGCTTTATAATTCATTGATATGACCATATACCACTTTCATTTTTAACAAAATTCACTAAAAATTATACCATTCACTTTCACCCTGTACCTGCAATTCCTCTAACTTTCATCTAAATTACTAATTGTACGGAGATCAACAAGACACAACTAGATCTAAGGAATTTCTCACTCTAGGCCTACTCATTTAAAGCCAAAGTTAGACAAAATAGTTAGATAGTTTATCAGAATATAATAGCTTAGGATATTATTTATAAGCATTGTCAATCCTAGAATTCTGATGATGTTCAAGATAAAATTTTGTGTCAACTTTTAACTTTTGTGATAATAATAATAATAATAACAATATCAGTTATAAAGCGCAACATATCCATCTCTAGAGATGCTCAAGGCGCATACAAATAATTTAAATTAATATTCAACATACTTAAGATTAAAGAAATATTAAATGTTAACTTGCATTAGATCATACAACTTCATGGTGCCAAGGTACATACAATGTGGCACAGTGTGATTGTTTGTTTTGCATGCATTGTATATAAAAAGAACATTGATATAAGTTTATCATCCCTGTACATATTTCTTTCAATTACAATCATGCATCAATCATCATCTTCATCATATTTTACAAAATAATGCTTTCAATTATTAGTTCATTCTGCTTGATAATATGTTTATCTATTTCATAATTTGTTTCGGGCTGTCATATTTAGTCAAGCAATTTGCTTATAGTGCCAAGCCTATGTGTCTCATATATATTGTTTTGCTGTCTGCTGCCTCGATAAAGATCACTGGAAAAAAGATAGATGACCGTGTGAATATAATTAATCCTTTTAAGTATATAGATTCTTTCATCAATCTTGACCAGAAGAGTGTTTTAAGTCAATGATATAGGCATCACCAGGCGCGTACACAGGGGGGGGGGGGGGGGGGTTTGGGGGGTTAAACCCCCCCCCTTTGGTAATTTTTTGTGTGAAAACCCCCCTAAATTTCTCTAAAACCCCCCCTTTTGGATTCAGTTTTTTTTTTTTTTTTTTTTATTAAAAAAAAAAAAAAAAAAAAAATCCAACGGAGCAAAAATTTCGAATTTCAAATTTCGAGACCAAAAAAAAAAAAAAAATGTGTCCTCTTACCCCCCCCCCCCCCCCCCCCCCCCCCCCCCCGCTTATTCAGCGGCTGGCTGAGTCGTTGCGAAATTTTCGGCCCGATTTATAATGTTAAAACCCCCCCCCCCTCGAAAAAATCCTGCGTACGCGCCTGGGCATCACCCCGTGCAAGGTTGTGTCCAGTATCCCCCCCCCCCCCCCCCCGTGTCGATGTGCTATATATTAGTGCCCTTTTGTGGGGCATTAATCCTCATTACTGTCATTTATGACTTAAGGGCGTAGGTCCCCTAGTTAATAAGCATAGTAGCATACACATGCTTCAGCAGTCACGCAAAACACACGCTGGCAAATTATTATTCAATAAAATCTGAGAATGTATACTATTATCTAGATCTATGAGGAATACATCATTGTCAAAATAATTCCATAAATTGGGGTATAAAAAAAATATTCCAACTACATGAGCGACAGTGTATATAGGGTTTAATTGAAATCAAAACACATCAAAAACCAAGAGCAAACAGTCCGAAGACTGACACCTGTCTTGGGTACAAAATAATATTTAAATCAAATATACATAATAAAATAGCAGTAACGAATACATAAGTTACATAATTAAAATATCGAATAACTAAACTATTTTCACTAAATATTGCAAAAAGGACTTACGAACAATAACAGCAATAAATTTACATCATTACATTATTACATCAATAGAGGACTCTCGAGCTGTGCAATAACTAAATCAGGCACAGACCGAGAGTCCATTAAAACAAAAATTAATTTAAAAATGCACAAGAATATATAAAGGGGTTTAAAAAGATTAAAGTGAAAAGAGGAGAATATGTCAGCCAAACAAAATTAAAGTATTGCGATGGTAAATGTAACATACAACAAAGAATTTCCAATGAGAACATAGAAATGGGAAAAGAGTAAGACAGAAGCTAGGAGAGAGGGAGGAAATGATAAAGGGGAGAGAGAGAGAGAGAGAGAGAGAGAGAAGGAAATAGGAAGAAAGTTAGGGAAATATCAATAAGATCTGTAGACTCTGTAAAATCAGCTCAAGTATCCAAACATTGTAGACATCACTGTAATACATGTAACATACAGTAAACAATTTCCCAAGAGAGTATAGAAAGAGAAGAGATATAGTATGGCAGAAGGAGAGAGAGAGAGGAAATGAGAAAGAGGAAAAGAGAGAGAGAGAGGGAGAGAGAGAGACTAGAGAGAGAGAGAGAGAGAGAGAGAGAGAGAGAGAGAGAGAGACTACAGAGAGAGAGAGAGAGAGAGAGAGAGAGAGAGAGAGAAGGAAGGAGATAAGAAGAAAGTTAGGGAAATATCAATGAGATCTGTAGACTCTGTAAAATCAGCACAAGTATCCAAACATTGTATTCTGGAAACCATGTACATACCCCCCCCCCCCCGAGCCCTTTTAAGGAATGACCACGCCCAAGGCTCTCTTACATTGCTCCCCCCCCCCGCAATAGTTCCCTATTTTCTTTCTTTTTTACATCAACAACAACAATAATAATTATTATTTTAAAACTCCAAAATTGGAAGAAAAAAATAATATCTGGCTTTCCCGGCAAAATATATGAATTATTTGTAAATAGAATTTGTATGAGGATTCAGATTTTCGGACTTTATTAGATTAATGAGTTCCTGATGAGTTGTATTGGATTCTCTTCACATGGCCCACTCATTCCCGGGCCCACTTATGGAAGAAGAAGAGTACGGTATGGTTATCACATAAAATATTTCGCCTCTCCCTAATCAAGTTCCCAATCCCATCGGGAATCCAAAAGAGGATTCATCGGGTCCCGATACATGTACAAGGATCCTTCATCTTGACTTTGGTCGTGCTAGACATCTCGTCCTGGTAGCTTTCTCTCTTCTATGCTCGACTCATAGATATATTGGCTCGACTGCATAAAGGATATCGATTTGGTTTTCAACTTTCTGATAATTTTCTTGCAGACTCACTAAAAGTTTCAGAACATAATGATACAATTTTAACTACTTGGAGAGAGAGAGAGAGAGAGAGAGAGAAAAAGAGAGAGAGAGAGAGAGAGAGAGGAGAGAGAGAGAGAGAGAGAGGAGGAGGGGGGGGGGGGGGACTCTAGAGAAACTTCGAGCTGAGCCAGCTAGAGCAATAGACATGGAAGGTAGTAACTAGAAATAAACTTACAGAAGGTGAAGGGGTTGGGTGAGGTGAGGATAGATGGGAAGAAGTATAGTGAGAGAAGTGTTTTAAAAACAGGTCTACCTACAGAAAGAGAGAAAATAAGGATGAGAGACATATAGGGAGAGAGATGGACAGCTGATGAAAGTGATCACTGAGAAGGAGGAAAGAAGAAGGGGGGGGGTGAGTGAGAAATCATTGAACTATAGGCCTGACAATAAACAATAATAACCGAAAATGGGAAATGAGCATATAGAAACACAAACATAGGAATTAGCATATCAATAGACCCAAAAAGGAGGCTTTCATAAGATCAAGTAGGACCATAGAGATATATTAAGTATATATCTCTATGAGTAGGACCCCGGCCCCCCCACTCAGTGTTATTTAGGGTACGCATATGCGTGTTCCAACCGACCCCCCCCCCCCCCTTTTCAGCAAAAGTCCGGTGTGTAAAGTCAATACGGCTCGACCTTTTTCTTTTGTATACGAGCCTTTTTCCGGACCCCCCCTTTTCAGCAAAAGTCCGGTGTGTAAAGTCAATACGGCTCGACCTTTTTCTTTTGTTACGAAAAGGACATTTTGGCAACACGCATGCGGTCATTTTGAAACCTGAGTGGGGGGGCCGGGAGTAGGACTGAGAGTGAGAGTGTGTGTGAGTGGAGGACGATATTTTGCTGGGGCGACGCATTCACATTGCACCATTCTCTGCAAGACCCAAGTAAGAGGACAGCGACAGATGAGAAGCTAGTATTATAGTAAGCGAATGTTTGTAAATTGTGTCAGAAATCTTAATTTGTTTAAATATGAAATTCATGTTTTCTGAATATTATGATTGTATATTGAGTTTTTGTTAAAGCATTTTAGTATCGTGTAGGCTAGGCCTAGATCATAAGGAGTTTAGTTTATTTGCGTTTATCATTCTATGCAGTCCCATTCCCTTTTATCCATGTCGTGCATCAAGTTGTATTGAAGTTTTTTTTTAACCCGCCACGATCCACACATAGCTGCATTAGGGTAGCGCGCCCAGTATTCGGTCTATTCCCAGTATTCGGTCAGACAGCCATTTCAACAGCTGTAACAATTTAAAAAATAATTTATGAGCCACGAAACTTGCACAAATCAGGCAGCTAAACAACTTTTCTTAACTCTCAAAATTAAATCAGATTTAGGGCCCCGGAAAGATCTCCAACTTAGCTCGAAATTGGTCAGTGTCGCACAACTTTCCGCACTTTCGCGTTCTCTTAGCACATGCGCTAACATGCATAGCCATATGTAGAAGTCTATTGCGAAACAACTACGTTTGCTGTCACAATGAATTTAGTATGTGTGTGAAGAGAATCACTTCCGTGTTCGCTCCATCGCAACGAATTTGCAAATGACGCACTTGCCGATGTGCAAGAGGTATATATACGATACCCTTGCCATGCGGTATCGCTCAGCCAGTATTCGGTCAACGCATTGACATTCAGTGCTTTAATCGCGCAATTGTGTGAAAATAGTGCGCAATTACGCTACGCTCCTTTGCAACGGAGATACCACACACAAATCGCGTGACCGAATTCTAATCGGCGCGACCGAATTCTGGGCAGAAAAATGCTCCGTCTTCTTTCGGAAGTATTTTGCTTATTATTATTCTATATTTTCAGTGACTATAAAATCCTGTTAAGAGGAATAAATTTCTTTTCTTTTGATGGGTAGATTGCCAAATGAAAGAGGTGTAGTGACTTGACCTTTGGAGAACTTTGCATTTGTAAATATTATTGTCTTGTCTTTATTGTGTGGCTTGAAGTCTAGCCTTTTATTCCATTGTCACTCATTTCTTTAGTGACACCTGTTGCATTACTAGAGTGCCACAAATACTTACTCTGGCAAGCACATTCCATACCCTATGGGTTGGGATGTGCAACCACCTAATGTACTGGTATAGCTTATACTGTACAGGGACATTACACTTGCTTGCTTTATTTGCCACACCTATTTTGATCACTTCTCCTGAGCTGTTCATATAGAGCACACCTATTCTAGAGAGTCGATCGATCAACAGCAAAGCTAATTCAGCTTCATCTTAATTCTTGTCCTATTTCTTCGCTTGTTTCTCTACTCGGTTCTGAGGCCTTATTACTTTATAGAGATTATAAGTTTCTTCTTCTTTACTTAATTCGCGAAGAAGCGTCATTACTTTGTACATGGTCTTACATATTCTTTCTACGGGTGCTGTGCAATATTTGAACTACTACTTGTGATATAATATATGTTCCAAGTATCTGTACTCAACAGGTGTTTCTACGAGACAAGGTAGGAAAGAAATCTATTTCTATTTCTTTTATTTAGGTGATTAAATTCCCTAAACTGGTGACCCCGACGTGATCCAGATTTTTATTTCTTCTGTTGATCTAATCTACCTTGTCATCGTCATTATCATGCCTGATACTGATAGCAATGTATTACCTAGTGAGGCTTCTGAGCCATCCCCTCAAGTCTCATATGTTAGTTTAAAGCTTCCACCATTTTGGGCACATGATCCTGATATTTGGTTTGCTCAGGTTGAGGCTCAGTTTCAAACTAGAGGTGTCTCAGTTGAGTCTACAAAGTTTGCTTATGTTGTCGCCTCATTACAACCAGAGGTAGCTCTAGAGGTGCGCGATATTTTAATTGCCCCTCCCCAAACAGAGCCGTACAAGATACTAAAAGCAGCACTGGTTAAGCGAACTTCTGTCTCTGAGCAAAAGCGTCTGAACAAATTGCTGACGAGTGAAGAGTTAGGCGATAGGTCGCCCTCCCAACTCCTTAGGAGAATGCAACAATTATTAGGCTCTAATACTTTGGAAACTAGTATACTTAAGCAATTATTTTTGCAACGCCTGCCAACCAATGTACAGTTGATTCTCGCTTCCACAAGCGATGATGTCAGCTTGGTTGCGCTAGCGGCATTAGCCGACAAAATTGTTGAAGTTGCTGGTCCGCCTACTATTTCTCATGTCTTACCTAAAGAAGTGCCAGCGCAGACTTACGCTTGCGCTACTCCCAATGACTCTGGTGAAGTACATCGACTTTCTACCCAGGTTGCTCAACTGGCTGCTCAGGTGCAAGCCTTGACTTGTTCTATACAGGAGGACCGCAGAAGTCGCAGTCGACAGCGAGGCCCGAAGAATTCCGGCCCTCGCCAATCAGCTTCCCGTAGCCCTAGTCGGCATCAACAACATGCTGGGGCTGAATGTTGGTACCACTGGAAGCATGGCAAACGAGCCCAGAAGTGCATAAGTCCTTGTTCATACTCTGCAGGACAAAGCCGCCCTGGATATGTCCAGGGAAACGGGCCCGCCAAGGAATAGCGGCGACTAATTCACTTGGCACCATTCAACCCAGTCGCCTTTTCTTTGTTCATGATAAACAATCAGGCACGCGTTTTCTTGTTGATACTGGGGCCGAAGTTAGTATTTTCCCTCATTCCATGTTAGGAAAATCGGCAATGGTAAGTGCAACAAATATCCAACTTCAAGCTGTTAACAAGTCACCCATTAAGACCTTTGGCCAGAGATCTTTCACTCTTGATCTTGGGTTGCGGCGAGTTTTTTTCGTTGGATTTTTATTGTCACGGACATACCTACACCTATCTTGGGAGCCGATTTCCTTGATAACTATGGACTATTGGTCGACATCAAACATCGACGGCTGATAGACACCACCACCACTCTTACAGTACAGGGAGTCGGTACATACACAGGCATCATTAGCCCGGTGTATGTCAAGCAAGATTCTTCGGAGCGTTTCCACTCCCTTCTTCGTGAGTATCCTGACATCACCCGGCCAGTGTACAAGCACTCAGAAGTCAAGCATACAACCACCCACCATATCCAAACTCGAGGCCCACCTGCTTCAGCTCGCCCTCGTCGGCTTGCTCCAGATCGGCAGCAGATTGCCAAGGCAGAGTTTGAACACATGCTTGAACTCGGCATTATCAGACAATCTGATAGCAACTGGTCAAGTCCCTTGCACATGGTTCCGAAGAAGACACCAGGGGACTGGCGACCTTGTGGAGATTATCGCATGCTTAATGCTCGTACTATTCCTGATAGATACCCTATTCCTCATTTGCAAGATTTCTCTGCGTCACTTAGTGGCAAGACAATCTTTTCCAAGATTGATCTCATCAGGGCATATCATCAGATCCCAGTCGAGCCTAGCGATATCCACAAGACAGCTATAACCACCCCTTTTGGATTATTCGAGTTTGTTAGGATGCCGTTTGGCCTTCGCAATGCAGCTCAGACATTCCAAAGATTGATGGATGATGTCACTCGCGGTCTTCCTTTCGTCTATGTTTATCTAGACGATATTCTTGTAGCTAGTACTACCAAAGACGAACACGAGACACATCTCCGTTTACTCTTTGACCGCCTGCAAGAGTATGGAATCATTCTCAACCCGCTAAGTGTCAGTTCGGAGTACCTTTACTGTCCTTTCTAGGGCATAAAGTTGACTCGGAAGGAATACAGCCACTTAGTGACAAGGTGAAGATCATCCGTGATTTTCCGATACCTACATCACTTACCAAACTACGAGAGTTCCTCAGGCTGATCAATTTCTACAGACGGTTCATTCCGCGGTGTGCAGAAGTACTCCAGCCTCTCACGGATCTGTTGAAAAATAGATTGAAGAAGAACCAACCAATCACCCTAGGTGAACACGAACTTTCTGCTTTCAATCAGGCTAAAGATCAGTTAGCTAACGCTGCAGTTTTAGTTCATCCTAGAATTGATGTTCCTCTATGCCTGTTGGTTGATGCATCTGATGTGGGAGTTGGGGGAACTATCCAGCAGCTGGTAGATGGTATTTGGCAACCGTTGGCTTTCTTTTCTAAGAGACTACAGCCTGCCGAGACTAAGTACAGCACTTTCGGTCGGGAACTGTTAGCAGCCTACCTCGGTGTAAAGCACTTTCGACATCTACTTGAAGGTCGCACATTTACCATCTACACGGATCACAAACCTCTCACCCATGCTTTGAATTCAAAGCCTGACCGACACTCACCTCGTGAAATCCGCCAGCTTGATTTCATATCCCAATACACATCTGAGATACACCACATAGCAGGAAGGGAGAACACAGCAGCAGACGCTCTCTCCCGTCTGTGTATCGACAGAGTTGATTCATCCTCGGTCATAGATTTTGCAGCCATTGCGAAAGATCAAGAGGATGATAGTGAGGTACAGGACTCCTCGCTTCAGCTCAAGTCTATATCGCTTCCTGGTTCTCTTACTACCATGCTATGTGATGTTTCGACAGGTGTTGCTAGACCCCTTGTTCTAGTCAAACACAGACGAGCTATTTTTGACGCCCTCCACGGACTATCCCATCCTGGGATCAGGGCCACTCAAAAGCTCATCACGGAACGTTTCGTTTGGCCTGGTATTAATCATGATATCAGGAAATGGGCCAGAACATGTCTTGAATGCCAGAGATGCAAGGTGCATAAACACACAAAAGTTCCACTTGGCACTTTTACCTCACCTGATGCGCATTTCTCTCATGTGCACATCGATCTTGTAGGCCCACTTCCTACTTCAGAGGGTAACACGTACCTTCTTACTTGTGTGGATCGTTACACCAGATGGCCAGAAGCTATACCTATCCCAGATATCACTGCGGATACTGTAGCACGTACTTTTGTGGCCAGATGGGTAGCGGTGTTTGGTGCTCCAACTACTCTTACTACAGACAAGGGTAGACAATTTGAGTCAGCACTCTTCCTTGCTCTCACTAATCTTCTTGGCACTAAACGCATTCGCACAACAGCATACCATCCAGCAGCCAATGGGCTTGTTGAGCGTTTTCACAGGCAACTCAAAGCCTCACTCAAGGCGCATAACACAGTCCGTTGGACTGAGGTCCTTCCCTTGGTATTGCTGGGTATACGTACAGCTATCAAGTCTGATCTGGGATGTTCCGCAGCAGAACTCGTTTTTGGTACTACGTTCATGCTACCGGCCCAATTTGTGTCTCCTTCACAGACTGACTCTGCTGGCGATCCAGGTAATTACGCCCACAGACTGAAGAGACTGATGCGTGAATTACATCCCACCCCTACTCGCAAGCAACGAGCTACCCCTACACAGGTACACCCAGAGTTGCATTCCTCATCCCACGTCTTTTTGAGGGTTGATGCAGTCAAGGGGCCCCTTCAACCTCCTTACAGGGGGCCTTTTCGAGTCCTTCAACGCTCTGACAAGTTTTTTACTATTGATTACAATGGTAAACGTGAAACTGTCAGTGTTGAGAGACTTAAACCAGCTTTCATGGAGCAAGATCTCCCTGCTCAATCTAAGAAGGGTCAAGATCCACCTATCCAAGTCCCTCGGCAATCCAACTCCGCAGACTTAGCACTAGATCCTGCTCCGTTAGCACTGGATCCTGCTCCGTTAGCACTGGATCCTGCTCCGTTAGCACTGGATCCTGCACCGTTAGCATTGGATCCTGCACTGAAGCAGAACACTCCTGAGATTCGAAAGACCAGGTCTGGTCGTCAAGTTAGATGGCCAGTGAGGTTCGTGGATTTTTTCGAAGTCGGGTGAAGCATATTAAACTTACTGTGTTTCAACAGTGTTACCATATTTTCGTATTTTCAAGTCAACATGCATGTAGGTCTATATTTCCTCATCGATTTGTTGCTACTTTTCATTCGACAACAAATCTAGAGGGGAGCTACTGTAGTGACTTGACCTTTGGAGAACTTTGCATTTGTAAATATTATTGTCTTGTCTTTATTGTGTGGCTTGAAGTCTAGCCTTTTATTCCATTGTCACTCATTTCTTTAGTGACACCTGTTGCATTACTAGAGTGCCACAAATACTTACTCTGGCAAGCACATTCCATACCCTATGGGTTGGGATGTGCAACCACCTAATGTACTGGTATAGCTTATACTGTACAGGGACATTACACTTGCTTGCTTTATTTGCCACACCTATTTTGATCACTTCTCCTGAGCTGTTCATATAGAGCACACCTATTCTAGAGAGTCGATCGATCAACAGCAAAGCTAATTCAGCTTCATCTTAATTCTTGTCCTATTTCTTCGCTTGTTTCTCTACTCGGTTCTGAGGCCTTATTACTTTATAGAGATTATAAGTTTCTTCTTCTTTACTTAATTCGCGAAGAAGCGTCATTACTTTGTACATGGTCTTACATATTCTTTCTACGGGTGCTGTGCAATATTTGAACTACTACTTGTGATATAATATATGTTCCAAGTATCTGTACTCAACAGGTGTTTCTACGAGACAAGGTAGGAAAGAAATCTATTTCTATTTCTTTTATTTAGGTGATTAAATTCCCTAAAGAGGTAAGAATTCAAAATATTAGTGATTTCCCCTTAAGTGACCGAATACTGGGTACTCTACCCTACTAGATTATCCTAGCTGTGTATTTAAAGCTGTGCTATTGATTCTCAACATTTCAAACACCACCACTGTACAAAACTCAACTAATTTCACTAAAAATCAGTACTTTAGTGACAATTGATGACATCTAAAATACAATTTGTTTCAACTGTCTAGACTCTACCGATGATAAAATAAATCAAACTTGCTGATCAGCCACATCAGCGTTATTGTGTGCATTTGTGTGTTATGAGTATATTGACTATTCATGTGGGCAAATGCTGCCTATTAACACGTAGTGCAGTGCTAGAGCCTAGAGGTCAAAATTAGCATTGACTCTATGCTTTGCTGGAGTGCCACGATCATGAAGAACTTTGCGCATTGAGCGCTGTACATTGAGTTTACGCTCTCCCATTGGCCGATCCGCTTGAGTGGCCTCAAATTTAAGTCAGAGAGGGCCTACTTACCTTAAGCGCAACTTAAGTTCAATGGCAATGTCAATACGTAATTATTACGTCACACTACAGAAATTTTGAGTGACGTCATGCTTTAAACAGGTGATACACTTCACACATAACTTACACACACATGAAATTGCACACACATAAAATAGAAAAATCAACAAACATTTCAGATTAAATTTCCAGTTTGTACCTTAAATATGTTGAAAATGAGAATTGTTCAAACTTTAAAAATAGTTATGTAAGACTTAAACTTAAGTGAAATACTTAACCTTTTAAGGATGCTGAAAAAATCGTAACAAATAGAGGGTTTGACTGAAATATCATAATTTTAGTATCGGATCAAACAGAAAATCGCATGCTTTCTCTTCCCACCAATATCTTATAACATTGTGATTGAGTGAACGGAAGCAAGCAATAGCCAATAAAAAGGGCCCTTGTTGGCACCAATTTAGTAAAGCGAGGCTGCAATAAGCTGAGATGCACTAAATTCTAAGCTTAAGTTCTATGTGGACTGTAAATGTAGTACTGGGGGCCGTTTCTCGAAACCGTCGTAACTACAAGATCAACGACATCTCGCCACTGTCACGCAACTTGTCAGCTAAGTGTTTCACGAAGCCGTCTTTGCCAAGATGAGCGACAACTTCCGCGACAAGCGAGTTGTCACTGCTCCGAACCTGTCATATCTTTTTAATTGCTGTAAAGCGCCATCACAAGTCAGCTCGTTGCCATTCCATGGGCCGCGAAATGGACGATTAGTTTCACTATCATTTTGAGAAAAATATAGACGAGTTCGGTACGTAATTCTCTGGGATGCGAAATGCAAATGTACAAAAGTGAGAATACAAATTATACAGAAACTTTAAAAAGCTGAATATAAACATTAAATCACAAATCATTAAACTATAACATATAAATAAGAGAGGTAAGAATGTTACACACCGTTTTCCATAGTCGATCCATAGTCTTTTCTTAGGATACCGTCATACCTTTGGGGCCTATGTGCATTATTATTCCCTCTCTAATTACTTCTTCCAAATTATATTTTCAATATCAAATCAATTATATAACGAATCTTTATGAGACTCTAGAATAAAAACTGGCTGAGAAAAGACATTTTGCCTAAAATTCCTCGTCACAATAAACAAAATAGTACGTATTGATAAACTATCACATTACGGTATCCCTCAACGAACTTTTGATTCGACTGTCGAAAAAAAAACACTCACCGGTTTTTCTTCAATTTAAGAATCTTTACAGAAATATGCAAATCGTTTGATGATGTAAATATGATAATGACACTATTTATTATTTATTTTAGGAGAATTTATATGTATATATTTCTTTTTGAACAATTTTAGCCCCAAAACTTGTTTTGGGTTATTCTTGGTAAATCAAATGGATCGTGACAAAGACTATGTTCTTGAGCTGCTAGTATCGCGATATATCGATATCATGTCTGTCATGGCTTTGTGAAACGGTTTATCCGCTTCATGACATCTCCGTAGGTCGCCGACAAAGATATGACTGTCATGGAGTTGGTTTCGAGAAACGGCCCCCTGGTAACTTCTTTCAATTTTAGTTAGTCTACATTGTATGTTCTAACTTGCTTGAGTGATATTGTAACTGCTGGTATTTGCAAATAAACTAGGTACTATAGACCTGTTTGATGTGTCATTGATGAACATCAGCTGTGTTTCTGTAACTCCAGTTAGCTTTCTCACAAATTCACTATCAAATTATATTTTTGGAAAATTTTAGATAGACAATTTTTCTTCAATTGATTGACTTTGTCAAAGTTTTATTAAACTATCTGTTTTTTAATTTTTCTTCTTCTTTCTTTTATTTGATGCCTTTTCTTATTTAGAGTTCATCCATTTTTATTTCAATGTCTACCGCACTTTAGTTTTTCTTCCTATTGCTGTCATCCTCTGAGAGATCCTAATGCCAATATTAATGTCTTTTACTTTAAAAAAAAAAAAAATCTTTTCAGATTACCCAAATGAGCAGAATCGAGAGGTAAATTGAAAATTCATTTTAGGACGTATCCTAAATATGGAGAGTTCTCTAGTAAGTGAGTTGAGTGCACTGCGAGAGAGAGCTGAGGGATTGATAAAGAGAGCCGATCTGCTGAAGACCAGCGGCAACATTGAAGGAATCGGGAAAGTGAAGAAAAAGATCCAGGCCGAACTGACATTCATCAAATCGGTGAGTTAGTCAGTTAAACTGATTTCTTTGATTTATATTCATGGAATTTGGGCTTATTTTGCATCATCGGGTCATGGCGTCCAGTTACATGACCGTTTCGCGAAGATGCGACCTTTCATAGATTTGGCGTAGGGTTGTCACAAAGTGTCTGGTCAATTGGACCAGATCATTTATTGATGCGAAGGGGTTTATTTTACTAACATTACTCCTAAAGTTATTGAATAAAGGATTTGTTTCACAAAAGTTCAGGTAACATGATTTTGATATTTGCTATTTGATCCATTTATAGAATAGTTTGCTTGAATACATTGCTTGCATATTTGGATTTAAATACCTAAGTAGATCCTTGTCATTTGATTGGAGGATTGTTGGTCACATGGTATTCAATAAATAATGCTATTATAAGAGCGTGCATTTTGGACTAAATAAAAGTTCGAGAGCTTTATGTCATGACTATTGCTGGTTTGCAGTAAAGAAAAATATGAGGAAGCATACATGGTCTTCCAGGAAAATAATAACCACCACTCTAACTTCCCCCTTTTAAGGTAAATGTTTGACAATTATTTTAAGTTTCTTGCTGCTCAAAATTTACTTCAAACAATCTGCAGATATTTATACCGATATGTCAAATATGTTTCAGGGGGATGTTTCACAAAGATGCTACATGTAAGTCGAAATTAACTCTAAGTTGGACTTAAATATTATGAAGAGCCATTTGTAGCCTTATAGTGAAATATATTCAAAAGCAAAAATTCAAGTATTTTAGACTTCATAAATTCTACATCAAGAACATGAAATCTCTCATGATAATAGATAATATGAATGATTTGAATCAACATTTTATGCCTTTCAAGATAACTTTTACAAAATATCTTAATAGATGGAATGATGGTGGTTATTTTACCTGACAGCTAAGAAAGCATAAATGCTTGTAAATAAGCAACCAGACGGCCGACGGCTTTAGGTCCTCTCTGAGGGACCTGGTAATGAGGATTAATGCCTTACCAAAGGGCACTAGCGCATCGCCTTGGTTTCGAACCCGGGTCACCGGATTACGAGACCACTGCTCTACCGACTGAGCTATCGCGCCTCTTTAGGATCATCTTAGGATCTTTGTGAAACACCCTCAGGTATGACAGTTCTTAGTACACCAATTTGACTTAATTACCCTCTCTTTTTTGTTCAAAGCTGGAGGAGGGTAAAGTGATCCCCAAGAAGAACCAGCTGAAGAGCACCAACCTGAGTCATCTGGATGCTCTCCTTCATACCGCCGAGACGTTTGATCATGTGACCGCCGTACTGCGCCCTGTCCACTACGAGACGGAGGAGGGTTACGACATCAGTCTGCTTGTGGATGTCGTAGGTCACAAGGGGAGGTCATGGGTCAAGGTCACGGCTCGCAAGGCGGAGGCGTTGCACAGGATATGGGAAGGTGAGTGCGTACGTGAGATAGAGTAGTCTGTAGAATCTGTAGAGACAAGGCTTTTAAAGCCCCATTGCACTACTTGTAACTACTTGCTCCCTCTATATAGAAAACAACGCCTAAGCGGTACCCATTGGTCCCCCATGATCCTCTTTTTCTTATGTTAATTGAGAGCTGAGTTGATGAGATTACCACCTGTCAGTGACCACGCTGGGTGGTCTTATCCCTCTTGGCCAAACTAGTGCCGACAGGCTTTAAAACAATCTTTGATAATGCCTCACTCAACATATGATACTAAAAGCACAACAAACTATTAACAAAAATGAAGGAAAAGCAAAGACAAAACAAAATAGCCAAACACAACCATGCATGCACAACCATGCATACCGGAGTGTTGGCTCAGTCAGTAGAGCGTCCGCCTCACAACTGGGAGGACGTGGGTTCGAACCCCGGCCGCGTCATACCAAAAGCGTTAAAAAAACATTAAAAAATGGGAGTTGTTGCTACTTTGTTTGGCGTTCAACAATAAGGGATAGAGCAACGTCGATCTGGCGCTGCTCAGTGGCTGCCGGGCTCACAATCAATTTCTGTTTCGGTTTAATAAAATTTGGAGTGGACTATTAGGCTATTATTAGGCTATTATTATTTTTATTTATGTGTGTTGTAGGGAATAGACCTCAGTTCATGTACCATACATAAATGTATCACAGTCGAGTAGTTTAAAGGTAAAGGCCGGTAGTGGTTAAATTGCGGTTCAAGGGTTTTGGGTGCAAAATATCCATTCAATATTGTTTAGATATTGCCTTCAGAGGTTTAGATGGCAATACTTCAACCTAAATTCGCAAAAAGCAGGATATATGCCCAAATGTTCAAAGTTAAAGTGCATTCGCGATATCTATCCAGGCCAGATCGATATGACAGTTTACCAAATGTATCAATCGTTAGGCGGACTCCTGGCAAAATTTGTATCATCACGTATTAGTCAAAACATATTCTTTCACATAATTGGTAATAAGAGCTTCCATTTCATTTTTTGAGAGGGGGGCATTTCCAAAACTGGTCTATACCTTTAATTCCAGAATATTATTATTTTGATTGCGGTACCTATTGCAATGCCCATTTTTACTTGTAGGAGAAGGGGAGTACGGTGAACAGAACATAGTACAGCAGGTAGGACAGTACCAGGATGCCTCGAGTCAGAATCTCCTTGACTTCTCTCCCCCGGCCGTTCATGTCGTCTTCTACTCGGGGATCACCCAGGCAGTGTCAGGTAGGTGACCATTGGAGACATTTTGTAACACCGCTTCTGATTTACAAAAACTGATGATTGGTTTGTTGCTTGTGGTTTTTTAGAATCATGGGAGAAATATTTCTGGATTTCTTTTGAAAATTTCTCTGTTTGTGGATGTCCAGGTGATTCATACAAAATGGTTCACGAATGCCCTATACAGAAAAAAACGAAACCAAGAATTATCAATGTTTTATCATAACTTAGTCAAATATATAATTAATAAATGACACATATTTGGAAAGCTTAGATCCTCCTCTTTCATTTGATGCAACTCATATAATGCATATTTCACGCATGAGTGATTAAAATGAATTTGAAGAGAGAAAACAAAAAAGTCATTTGGCGGACGGTATCTGAATCTCAAAGAGAAAATCACATTTCTAGAAAGTTGGGTTTCTGCCTTTTCATATGACACCTCTATCAGGAAAAATGAGCAAGGAATGACAAAGTTCTGTTTGTTTGAAGTAGTGCTTGCATTTCATTAATTGTATCAAACAAATTCGTTTTCACTGGGTGCCTGCCGCTGCAACAAGCAGAATTGACAACAGACTTAACTCCATTTCGTTGACAATCAGCCATGCATGAAGTCTTTCGTCTACGGCTGATTGGCATCGAAACGAAGTTAAGTCTTTTGTCAACTCTTTATCAAATGTGTGATCCAAGAATCAAGTTTTGTATCTTCTCTTTTTGTTAATGTCCACTAATAGCTGAGTTGTTAGATCTTGGAGCTGTTGTACATGGTCATATATACCAGAATGATGATGAGATGAGGAACAACAAGCCTGATTTGCCAGTCTTTCATCCTGAAGAGGTGAGCACAGTAAACTCTCTAAGAGTGAGGGTGACAGGGGTCATTGTGTTAGGAAAGGGGTGAGAAATTCGACCCCATGGGTGAATACTTCAAAAAACTGCAGAGTAACCAGCCAGAAAAGTAACCTTTAATCCTGAACCTAGGCCCTGACCCTGACCATAAAAATTATCCTCCTCCTCCTCCTCCTCTTCCTCCTCTTCTTCCTCCTCCTCCTCCTCTTCTTCCTCCTCCTCCTCTTCCTCCTCCTCCTCCTCCTCCTCCTCCTCCTCCTCCTCCTCCTCTTCTTCCTCCTCCTCCTCCTCTTCTTCCTCCTCCTCCTCCTCTTCTTCCTCCTCCTCCTCCTCTTCTTCCTCCTCCTCCTCTGCTTCCTCCTCCTCCTCCTCTTCTTCCTCCTCCTCCTCCTCCTCCTCTTACTCCTCCTCCTCCTCTTCCTCCTCCTCCTCTTCTTCTTACTCCTCCTCCTCCTCCTCTTCTTCCTCCTCCTCCTCCTCTTCCTCCTCTTCCTCCTCCTCCTCCTCCTCTTCCTCTTCCTCCTCCTCCTCCTCCTCCTCCTCCTCCTCTTCCTCCTCTTCCTCCTCCTCCTCCTCCTCCTCCTCCTCTTCCTCCTCCTCCTCCTCCTCCTCCTCCTCTTCCTCCTCTTCCTCCTCCTCCTCCTCCTCCTCCTCCTCCTCCTCCTCCTCCTCCTCCTCTTCCTCCTCCTCCTCCTCCTCCTCCTCCTATTCCTCTTCCTCCTCCTGCTCCTCTTCCTCCTGCTCCTCCTCCTCCTCCTCCTCCTCCTCCTCCTCCTCTCTCTCTCTCTCTCTCTCTCTCTCTCTCTCTCTCTCTCTTCCCTTTAATCATGCTTTGATTCTTCATGTTGAGTCATAATACATGAATTGTACTTTGGTATTAACTGTCATGATTCATGATCCAGTCTTCAGTTTCAAAATCAAGAGAAACTCTAGCAGTTTTTAAAATTTGTCAGTATGATACCCCTGTCACACTACCAAACTGAAAACCAAAATGGATTCAATCTTTTGCCATCTGGGGTATTAAATTTTTGTTGTATCTGTTTTTGCTGTGGTGTTGGTCTTGTCAATGTGACTGGGATATAAGTATTGAGAACATCTAGCTCTAGTTGCAATACTTCCAAGAATATTGTTATCACTTCCCTCCCTCTTGCTCTAACCCCTGTTTATCCTTTGGCAAGACATTGATCTACTTTTGCCACACTCGACCCAGGTGAGGTAAATTGGTACCTGATAGGATTATTCCTTGAAATGCACTGTGCGCTGGTTACGGCTGACGGAGCTAAAGCTAGGGTAATAATTTCCAAAGCTCTTTGGAAGCCCATAGAGACGTTATATAATATGATATGCGCTATACAAGAACCGAATATTATTGTTATTATTATCCAGGAGATTGACAAGCTCCCTCTAGAGGCGGAGTCCATACCCCAGGCGACCAACCTGGACGTTACGACGATGATAGCCCTGGTGTCTGACCTCTGCCATGGAGGAAGCAGCTACTCTTTCAACGAACCTGTTATAGAAGAGCTCTCCCAACAAGAGAGGCAGAGACCGTTATTACCAGAAGTAGAGAATTTTATAAAAGGTAGTGATGGAATTAAATATATTTTTAAACAACAGTCCTAAGTCAAAAAGAGCATGCATTGTTACTACCGATATAGAAAAATAGCTCATCAGTTTTCAGCCTTAAAGGTAATACAAAGTTTTGGGAAATTTTGAAAATTGGGTGGATAGTGAATCTTTAAAATTTTCATATATTTGGATGCTCCTGTGGATGTATTATAAGCACTAAAAAAATAAGTCTCTAAAACACTTTTGTTTTCGAGAAAAATTGAATATAAAAATTTACCGGTGCTCCTGGTAAATTTTGATAAATTTCAAATAGCGCCTATGGTAGCTGAGACCATGAAAATCTCAGAATATTTAGTTGTGATATATAATTTCCAAACGGGAATAGCTAATCGGTCGATTTTAGTCAAGAGACATTGTTTCATAGCTAAATTAATATCTTGACCTTAAGAGGGAGCTATGCAACATAAAGAGTTTATTATTTTTAATTTCATAACTTCAGACTCGATTTCAACCGCGACAACGATCAATGAATATTGTAGGAACGCATGTGCTTCCAATATTCTAATTTGAACCGAATTCATGACCCCATACCAAAACTTTGTATTACCTTTAAGCCTATCATACACCAATTCTTGTGTACTATTGAACAAATTTTGATGCTTCTTTTCCTGTTGCATTGCAATACAATGCACTGTATTTTAACAAAATTGGACGAGACTCCAATGATTTCTCCTCTTCTCTGATTTATGTTTATTAATTTTTTTTGTTCATTTGAAATAGAATCAAAAGACATTAGGTCACACTCGGTGTCTCATTGATCCATCTTGATCAAACCCACCACGAGTTGGGTTATAATTTTCTCAACAAGTATGGAAGCACATTGTTGAGATCTCTCATTTTATTATTAACCAAATTTTGATAAGTTGATTCATGTTGAGTCCCTTTTGAACTTGGGATAAAAATTATGTAATGTTTAAATATGTAACCCCTATCCAAACTTTCATTGTCATTCATTTTTGTTAACTCGTTCTCTTCAATGATTACCATCCTTCTACTACCGTATATATAAATGTAGTATGTGTTTATATTTTCTAGAATATATTTAGGTTAGTATTGTCTGTTTGGAGCCAGGGAATAACAAATAATCGATAACTCCTCTGGCTCTCAACAGAGAGAATAAATTATTTTACATTGTTATGTTATTTGTGTTATTTGTAGTTATTTTTCTATGATATGTTAATGTATTGTTATATTTTATTTAAATGTGAGTCGTAAGACGATTTTATTGCCTTCATTTTATTTTGTGCATGACCATATAGAAATTCAATTCAATCCAATCTTGTATCCTTGATAGGTAAAGAGTTAATAGTATGCGAGACGGCTAAACATGACTTCCAGGCAATAATTGAGACAATAGGAGGGCCGCGGGAGAAGGAGAGGTCGCAGGAATTACTACAGAGACTCCATATAGTTCCCGATCAGCCTTCCAGTAGAACATTAACGTTATCATCGTCTAACAGGATAAAAGACAGGGCCAAGGTAAGGATGATGATGGTTTGGGCTTGAATGATTTAAAAAACAAATCACATCATTTTAGAGCACTTTGGAGAAGAAAAAAAATCTTTTTATCAAGTTGAACCTTCGCTGACAATATGGTTCAACTTTAAGAAAAGAAGAAAATCAATGTTGCATTTACCAACAGAGACTTCTCTTCAGAAAAAATGTGACAATTTTTTTCCCCCCTCGTTGAAACATATTCCTTTTTATTTTGTTATTGTTCAAAATCCATGAATGAATAAATCTACATATATTTCTTATTTATCATTGTGTTATATTTCACACCTTGTACTGTTTCTTCTCAAATGCAAATTTTTGGTGAATATTCCTTGAAAATAAGTGGCCATCTCACTATAATAATTTCTCTATGCATTTATCTTTTCTTCAGGTAATATTTGGAACAGGTGATGCTCTCAAGATTATAACCACTACGGCCAATGAGGCCTTCGTTAGAGCAGCTTCTAAACAGGTAGGTGATTATATTTCTTTTAGACTCCATAACAAGATGATTGTAATAATATGCATGTAGCACAGCTTCTATAAATATGTACTCTAAGTATGATATTATTACCCTAGCTTCAAGGCTAAGACACTCGGGTATTAAGGAATCCTTCCTACCAGTACCCATTTCCTTCGCCTGGGTGGAGAGTGGCAGATGTAGATATAATTTCTTGCCAAAGGGTGTTAGGACCATGACAGGGATTGGAACTACATGTACATACCTTTTGACCTACAGTCTAATGGCTTATCCACTTGACCATGATACCCCTACATAGTTTGACTTTAATCGGTGCCTTAGGAAAAAATGTTTTTCAACAGAACATTATACAGTCAGACCTGTCTATAGCGACTGCCCAAGGGAAAAACAAAAAGTGGTCTTTGTAGACATGATCCTTTAGTACATGCTTCAATGAGAAACCATTTTCAAGGGAAACAAAAAATGTGGTCTTTGTAGACAGGTGGTCACTAAAGCAGGTTTGACTGTATATGTATACAGCTCCTTATTTCATGTTGCATTGTGACTACAAACCATTATGAAAGAGATAGCTATAATTATCACAAGATATAAAATCTTATATGGACATGAGAAATCTCTCTGACTGACATTACTAATAGTCATTTGAAATGTAAAATCCAACTACTGTATGCTGTGTTGTGGGTTTTTCAGATTGAGAAAGTTCAAAGATTCTCACTTTTCAAGACCGACAAATAATAAACCATGAATAAGGCCTAAAAAAAAGATGTTGTATTGCCCTTTGCGACCGACCCCAAAATCTTGAAATCTACGGTCGGCTTTTTAATTTTTTTTTTTTTTTTAGTGTTATTTAGAAAAAGAAAATGCATTACAGCATTCAAAACTGAGAAATATCAGCCCAAAGAGGGAGAAAAAGAAAGAAAAAAAAGATTAAAAAAAAAAGATTTCCGACCGACCGACCCATGTTTTGGCACCTTAAGGGCAATACAACATCTTCTTTTTGTAGGCCTAATGCATAAAGTAAGAAGACAATAAAACAATATCTTTTTTCATATTCATAATTGTGTGATACATTCTCTCCAACTCTACAATTTTTAATTTTAATTTTTTAATTGTTTGTTTTTTTAGGGTGTGGCTTACTCAGTATTCATCCACCAATCACGAGCCTTGACAGAGAAGAAGCAGCAGAACCCAGCTAAAGCATCCCCGTCCTCGTCATCTAGTAACTGCAACTCATTCACCGATAGTATACAACACCCACTGGGATTGGACAATAGCAATAGCTACCCACAAAACTGACCAATCATGGCTAGGCTTTCAAAAACAGCATGCCACAACTGGTAGGTAGTGTTAAGAGATGTGCTTATTTCTTGAGAAAAAAAATCCCTTCCTTTTTACAACAATGTTGCTTCACATGTAGGTTTATACTGCTAAACCAGGAGCTTTTGTGACTTGAAACTTTTGCGATATCCAAAAGAGGGCAAGCTTTAGCAGCAAAATACTTGTGCAAAATTGCAAAAATTCAGTGTTAAGTTTATTGTTTGGTAACATGGGACTTCTATGAATCTTAACCACTCGCAAAATTCTGGTTTTACAGTATCTGTATAAATCAGCGACACTAATTCAGTAACATTATTTACTATTAATAAAATGAATATTTATTGTCCCGCTTATCAAAATAGACTTCATGTTCAAGCAGTTGAGGGATGCAAGTGAGAAATTAACAAGCCTGAATTTTCTTTTTCTTTAGAAAATAAGAGATTTATATTTGGTTTTTGGAAACAAGCTCTTTTGGGTTTTTTCACGGCACAACGCACAAAATGGTACTACTGTTTGTATACTCAATGTGCAAGTGACTAATTGAACATCATTAATACAGTACTGGTGCGGTTCTTTTTTCTCTTCTGTTAAGAATAATACAGTTCACCATAAAGGAGAAATCTCTACAGGAAAAATTAATCATTTCTTTTCAAATTGGCATCACAGATATTTTTATTTTACTTCTATAGCTTTAATTAAAAAGCAATGTATTGGAAAAGATGGACAGGAACTTTATTTGATTTAAAAAAAAAAGAATTTAAAGAAATTGTGAAAATGGTGATTTTCATCTTTCAGAAACGTTTTTAAGTGAAGGGTAATGTTCTTTTTACTTTGAAAATTCCTGGCATCAAACATGTATGTCAACGTGAAGTTGGTCAGTGTATGCAGAATCCTTGCTCTTTCTTTGTCTGATAAATTTTGAGTCTAAATCAAAGTTTATTGAGCCACACCACAACATGTGGGCAGTTCTCCTTTAATGAGCTAAAGGTACATAATATAAAAAGAGGGGATATATGAATGACTGATACTATTAATTATTCCTTAAAGTATTTTTGTTAATCCTTCAGAAGGAAAAGAGAATTCTCATTGTTATGCACAAGGATATGTTCACTGACGATTCACAACAATTATCTGTTTTTGGGGAAAACAAAATACCTTGCTTCATATTCACGGCAAGAAACGTGCATAATTTCCACGGCTGTTTTCTCTCTCACTGCACAAGACTTTTTTTTTTTTTTAAGCGAATTTGATTATACATTGCAGTTATTTCTCTTTCTGTTCCTGTGGCAATAGTAATTCTTCTACTGTTAAGTGTATTGGAAGTAGGCTATTTTTCTATTGCCTAAAAGATACCATACCTACCATGCTAAAGAGTTATTGTACTTGTATGTACATTTTAGTATGTTTGATTTATTTATCAACTTTTGCTACTCATTATTGCAGAAGGGACTGCAGATCAGACAGAGTTTTAAAGTATTAATTAGATGTCTTGAGCTACATATTGACATTTTCTTTCATTGTACATCACAATATTAAAAAGGATTATAAGGAAATTATTTTCTTGCCAAAAATAGGCATTTAAACGACCAATTTCCTCATAGTGAAATTTTTTGTTGTACTCTTCATGGCTAAATTGTTTTGACATTATAAGCTAACATGAGGTGATAAATAATTCTTTTGAGAGTATCAAGTTTACTTAGAAAGAAAAAAAGTTGCAAGCAGCAAAACGTGATTTTGTCATTGAAAAACAAAAATGTAAGGGAAAAAAAGAGTTTCTTTAAAGGGAAACGATTTGAAAGAAGGTGTTTGTTTAAAAGTATACTTCATGATATTTTCTGTATCGGTAATCTTTATTGAATTCTGGGTTTCATGTCAATTGCAAAGATAAGGAAAATTAAATCCCATATAAGAGAATGTATAACTTGTATATCATTTGTCTTGGGCAAGTTTACAACCCAAAAGAAACAAATTTGATTTAAGTTTTCTCTGGAAACATGCTGAACTATTGACAGAGTCATGAGTGATAACCTCATCACTGATTTTATGTAGAGTTATTGCAAGATGAATAACCAATCACATTTTGTTATTAATCAGTGTTTTATGAGTAGACGAATACTATGCAGTGATGTAGTATGCAATTATTTCATTTGCAAAGAGCATGCACTTTCTGTTGCAAGCCTCATACAAGTATGTTCTGTTCTGCATGATAACTACATTATATTATAAATAGCACAAGTACTTTGAATAAGTAATCTTGACTTATCAGACCTGCAGTATATTTAGCACACTTACATTTATCGTAGGATGTCATATTATTTCATTTTTATTATGTGAAATTAAGTAAACGGAAGCAAAAACATCCTGTCCTGTACATGCCTCTATCACATCATTGAACATGTATTGTTAAAAGAAAAGACATCATTAAAGATAATGATTTGTGTATGCCCAACTCCTATATGTGTGTCTGTGTTGTTCATTCCTTGTATACCTTGATGACAGATTTCCCTTCAAAAAAATATGCTTCAATTTTATAAGCAGGAATGAAATATCTTCTTGTCTGATAACAGTGACATTAAAGGTAAAGACCAGTTATGGTCATGCGATTGCATTGTGAAAGAAACGTTGTGGAATCGATCAGAAAAGGTTGATCATCTAGCATCTGCAAGGTTCTGGAATCATCAAAATGATAAGAAATTTGGCCCATTCTTCGTAAAGTTACAAGCACTATACAAAGAAAGATGTATATGGGACTACCCTATATCTCTCACAGACCATGAGAGAAACAAATTTACCAAATATATGAATTAGTAGGCGGTTTCCCTGCAAATTTTTTATCATCATGTATTATTCAAAACATATTCTTTCACATGATTGGTAATGAGAGCTTCCATTTCATTTTTTGAAACTGGGGCGTTTCCAATACTGGTCTTTACCTTTAAATGAAAAGAAAAAAGGATAATAATGTGGCAAAATAGAAGAGAGGGGAGGGGTTCATTTAACTTGTGAAAAGTCATGTGAAATATTACTACCAACTACATTTTCATATACATTTTGTTAGTAGAGGCGAGAATTAATTTTATACTTTCCTGTTTGAAATGTACTTGTCTAACTGTAATTCTGAATATTTGTAGGTTTCTTGTATATACCAATATGAAAGTTGTTGGTACATTGTGATGTGACTTTTATCACCCCCCCCCCATTCCTGGGTCTGCTATCACTTAGCCTGAACATTTTTTATTCATCTGACAGCTCAGTGAATCCACAAAACATTCATCCACTGACATGCTTGAGACTGCACCTGAAAACAAATCTGCACTCATTTTCTCTTTAATCATTACTCGGGACTCTTGCAGAAAACACAAACAGACGTGATCTTTTTTAAGAAGAGAAGATTTTTGTCATGATTCAACTAGCTCTTATCTTAAAAAATCTTCACTCTTTTCCCTCTTTTATGCTTATCACACATGACTCGTACAAAAGACACAAACAGACGAGATGTTTTTTTTTTTAAGAAAAGAAGATTTTTGTCATGATTCGACTAGCTCATATCTTACAAGGAGTTTGCCTACATTATTGGCATTTTTACTTTTGACTAAACACACGCACACACATTGGGGAATATTCTTAAACATAATCTCTTATCTGTCGTCAATTTTTTTGTCAATTTTATAAGTTCTTGCCTCTGTCATTTTTTTACATACATGAAAATCTACAAGATATCTACAATCAAATTTCTCTAATTTTTAAAAACTGCTCAGTCTAATTGAATATTCATAAGATCAAAAGGATTATAAAATGCATAATTATATAGTGATTTAATAATTATTTGATTATACATGTATAATACACAGCATTGTCTGAATCAATGCAAAGGAGAATACAAGAACTGGCTTTAGATTTAAAAATTGCTGTTCAACGTAAATTTGCACCGTGATTAATAAATGGCATTCACACAAAAGGTATATATTTGTATATAGTTAGTTTAAGTTTCCCCTATAATAGACGCATACATAACTGCAACACATTTATGCTTAAATAAACAAGCGAATTCGCATTCACAGATTCCATGCCCTAATTCAAGCATTTTGTAAATTTTACTATCATATTGCAGAGCAAGCCCCCAAATAATACCTGTATATTTATTGTACAATATACTCCTGAATAACTTTTAAATCGGGGAGTAAGAACTACATGTATGTTTCAAATACAGAATCATCATGCCTTAAAATTGATCTCGATAGAGATTGGAATGAATTTGTCATCAATAAAAATATACAATGTACATGAATAGATAGATACATCATCTTTGCACACAGTGTTGGTTTTAGAATTACAGTCAAACCTGTCTTAGTGGTCATCTTTCTCTAAAGCCCACCTGTCTATAGTGGTCACCTACATGCAGTGGCCAGTTTTCTGATTTTCCTTGGGTGGCCTTTATAGACAGGTTTGGCTGTAACTTTAAACCTTATGTATTCATCAGAATGTAAATAGTTCAAGGATTTTAATAAAAGATCATAGTCCATCCTAAATATTATAAATGAAGAACAGAATATTTAGTTTTGGGTTGAAAACAAATATCTGATAAAGGGATGGGTATTAGGGGATATAAAGCTATATTCGTATTGTCCTAACATTGAAAGGTATAATGGACCATTCAGATACTGTCATGAAAAGACATGATCTTCATCTATTTGCTTAAGGGAAATTTCCAAAATTCTGGTTCATGTAGTTGTAATGTGTATCATGATCATAGCCTTGCAAATCATGTTGCTAGTTTTGCTACATCCCCATTGAATACATTATCCTAAAATCCCAGTGTAAAAATCAATGATTCATCCCTATCTTTTCCAACTGAGTAATAGAAATAAAATTATTAGTAAACCTATTCCATTTTTCTTTTTTCGCTCTAAATGCAACAACAAAGAACATTCATGCCACTGATATTAATGAATTTTAGATAAAACTCTTACAGTCTGCTTTAACATAACGAACAGTATTTGGTAAAATAACAAGAATACAGAACATAAAATATGCAATATAAATCAATATTCAATGATATACATGTATAAACTTTCTTTACAACACAGTAATGCATCTTCCATTCTCTGTAATAATCCTATGTCACACAGTACAATCGATGGCATTCTTTAGTATCCGAGCGGAAGAAAAAAAATAGCAAAAATAAAAATATATCAAAGCTGCTTTAGCTTAAAATCAACGAAACTCGCACCAGAATCGTAGCACATAATACACACGGCGGATCACAGAAATTTGGACGATTTGAGTTCATATGGTACAGTGTCAGTGTAAGAAGAGTCCAACAAAATTTAAAAGATCTCGGAAAAAAATCAATGTGAGATTGTGTTTAAAGGAGATGTGAAACAGATTTCAAATAATATTTGGTGAGAACAAAAGATAGCTTTTCTATCATTTTCATTTCACTAGAGAAATGTGTATATCGGTGACTTAATGAGTGTTTTCAAAATGCACAGCAAATCAAAGTTTGAAAATGTTTGAATTCTTTGCCTCTCATTTTTAATTTGTGTGTCCAATTTCATGATTACTTTGAAAACAAATCACTAACATTGAATGACATACTGTTTAACAAAATACAGAACAATATTGAATAGCTGAAGATAATTTCTGTATTCGTCTTTCACAGCGATTCTTCTTCATTTTTTCAATTCAGAATAAAATACTTGCACTGCAGTTTAACATATAATTTGCACATCATTCTAATGCCAGGCAACACAATTTGGTAATTGATATTTCATTACATGTACATGTAGATCTCTGAAATCTAGGAAAAGTTGTTCTTATTGAACAAAACAAATTTCTTGTAAGCATGGCTTAAAAATATTCCAAGATAAGCTTCTTCTTTTTTTAAAACCATATATATGTACATTTTGTAAGCGGCATAAATTTATAAAACATACAAGCAGGCAAAAGCAAGAAATACATAAAAGTTATTCAACCATTTTACAATAATTCAGTATTTCATCTCTTACGCATGCCAAGAATTGCAATTATATCGACACGAGCCTGATATAACTAATTTGAATAAGCATTTACGATAATAAAATTGACAATTGTAAAACAAAATTCAATATTTGTCAGCATGTACAGGGAATGCATACACATAAAACCATAGCAAATATCAAATTTCATTCGTTTAAACAAATCCATGAAGTGTAGAATTGGTAAAACGATCGTCCAAAAGGAGGGTTTTGAACCAGTGCGTTAATAAGCAAAGTGTTTCATTGAATAACATGCAAGAATACTGTAAGTAAGTTACTATACACGAAAATTGCATGCACGTTGAATCATTATCTATTTTATACTTGATTACACAAGTTTTCGATCATCTCTTTTGTTGGAATATTACAAAGCTATTTGCATTGCTTCATATCTCGTTAGATTATCGATATTGCAAACGTCACTTCAACTTCGTTAATTCATGAAGACAATAATTTTTTCTAAAAAACAGTAAAGTTCTGACTACTTAGTACAGGTGGAATATTCAAAACTGGTCTACAGCTATATTGTTCATTTTTGTAAAGGCTAATATACAAGAAATACTAGATATTCTAATTAAGAATCGTGCAATGATAGTTCTTTGGTATACACATACTGTGACCGGCACAATAATTTCATATTTTAACGTTTTTGATTGTTTCCTCCCGTTTTTTCATCAAGAAAAATGTCAAAGCCCCACCGATACTGATTTTAAGAACTACATATATGCTATTTCTAAGTTTTATTATGTGACAAAGGAGAGAGAGAAAGAGAGAGAAACATAGAGAGATAGAGAGAGATAGAGAGAGATAGAGAGAGAGAGAGAGAGAGAGAGAGACAGGCAGAGGGAGTTGGATGAAGAAAAAGCAATAAAGAAAAAGAAAATAGAAATATACTTATACAAATTTAGTTGAGTCATGTCCATCCTCTTTTTCCATAGAGAAAGACGTGGTTCAGTTTAGATATCAAAAAGGGGGAAAAAGAGGTGATTTTAGCCTTTACCAGTGGATACTGTACAGTTGTTTTTTGAATGAATACATCCTTGCATCAATTATCACATTCAGTTTAATTGAATACATAGTGTTGCAAACTCAACTTAAGTGAATTGAATGCCAATGCATTCGTGATGCACCCTACAGGTTTTGTCCAACAGTTAGCTGCAAGGGCGGGGAATAGTGGCTCAAGAAGACTTGTTTTCATCCAATATCTCTGACTCTGTTTACAATACCACTTCAATCTTCATTTAATACTAGTACTGACTTTTTATGAAAACATGCATATGTAAACCTGGAGTAAAAGGGATAAGACATGTCAATACTGAAAATGGGAGATTTATGGAAACATTTACTTAAAATGATCAGCTCATCATTTCAACATACAAGGAGATTTCTTTCAGTTTCTTGCCCTTTGCAAGAAGGAAACTGCCATTGAAATACCAAAAATATCTTAAATTCCAGCATGTTAGGCTTGTCATGATCACCTATACAAGTACCCGTAGGTATAAATTTAAATGTTCTTTTAGTACCATTCTACTTGCATTCCACATTACAAACTTCCCAGATCAATAAGCATTATTTTTCGATCCATGGAGGCATCCAAACAGACTTTTGTACATTCTGTAAGATATAAATGTCCATACTGGCATATTCAATTATTTTGCCTTTAGCATTATGTCCATATATTTCTAAACAATAAGGACTTCAATGATATTCTAATATAACACTAATGCTTTCTCAAAGCATTAATATGAGCTGTTGAGCTAAAAATGTATAACACGTCATGCATATTTCAGAAAAATTATCATATGTCACAATAAATAGGTATATTACCCATGTCAATATGACACTTGTATTTATGGTTTTATCATTTTACCATGAGGGGTAAGTAGATAACTTTGGTGATAATATCCAAACTTTGACAATTTTTCATTCCTTTGGGATGTAATATTCATATCCTAGCAAATTCTAGAGTGATTACAACACTGATGAGAAATGATCGACTCTGGAGAAGATGTTGCAAATGCCTGCTACTTCCAACCAAAGGCGCAGTATGATATTTTCTACCTGACAAAGAGAAAACTTTCTTAAACCAACTAACCTAAACACCAAGGAAAAAAAAATATATATACTAGTATTCTCTTTATATAGCTCCCTTGTTTTGTTAAAATATACCCAAACACACCAGACAAAGAAACAAAGTATATTCTAATATCCTTATCTTATATTTCCCTTGTTGTTTTACTCTGTACTATAACCTTGTTCTAACTTTGGTTTAGTCAAATCAAACTGTTATTAGCTTTTTGTTATATATTTCCAAGATGGCCCAGACGGGACATAGGGACAGGAAAACTAGACAACAAAGGTGGTAAAAACATTGGGGTTAATTGGACACCTGCCACATCAGAAGCTTGGCTTCCTTGGATACGTTCTCCCCGAGCCTCATTAGGTAGTCATGCCCCTCCCCTCCGCTGATGACCATCGACGTCGTACTTGTGACGTTGGCCGAGACTTCGACCTCACTGGTCGAGCCCAGCCTCCCCGGCCTGACCCCATCGGCATCCTCCTTCGATTCATGGCAACGTGTGACAGTGGTGGATATACCGTTGGTGGTGGTCGTGGTAGTCGTGGTGGAGTGGTCGGCGTTGGTGGTTGTTGACGGGTTGCTGCGCTCGCTGTTGAACGTGAGGTTGAGGTAGTCAGTCATGGGTGACATGGCGTTGTTGACAAGGTCAGCGGTTTGGCTGCCGGACTTGAGGCGGCTTGAAGGAGTGCTGAGGTCTGACAAAGATCGTGATGCATCACCTGAAGTGAAAGAGATTGATAGCTTGAAAACTGATGTTGCATTTTTGTTTGATACTGCTATGGATAACAACTAGCAACCACTGCCACCAAATCATCCCTTCCCATTACCGCTACATCGTCATCTCCAACATCATCCTCCTTCTCCTCCTCATCACTAACACCATCATCATCATCGTCATCACTATCCTATCATCATCAACATCATCATCATCACCATCATCAACACCATCATCATCATCATCGTCATCACTATCATCATCACTGTCATCATCATGATCATCAATACCATTATAATAACCTCAACCTCCACCACCACCACTTACTTTCTTCATCTTCCTCCCTCGACGAGAACAGCACCCTATCATTGGTCCTATTGAGCTCCATGGCTATCAGCATCCTGACTGGGCCCTTATGGGTGTGGTACGACACCATGGCGGGGCCGTTGACCAGGGGAACCCCCTCTAGGCGTGGCAGGGGGAAGTTGACCAGGATACCGGTGTTGGTACCCACCCAGAGGGAACCGTAGCAGGCTAGGAGGGTGGTGACGTGGACAGGGGTAGTCATGTGGAGGCTGGATTGAGCCCTGGGCGTCACGCCTATAGAAAAGTTGAAGAAAGAGATGAGAATGAGAATGGATCAAAGTGCTAAAAAATAACAGATGCAACATAAAAGCCCAAAAAGGTTAAAATAAAAAAAAAAGGTAATGTTTACATCAATGAATAGGTATCTTGATTACCACAAAGACAATATTTTATGCTGTGAACAGCAACAATGTGGCAGGATTTAAAAAAAAAAAAGAGGCCAAGTACCACTAAACCCCTTGGTTTCATGTTATAACAAAACTTCTCGGTGTAGTAGATATACAGTGTAATGTAGATCAGATTTCCAATTTTGAAGGTCAAATGCAATAATGCCATACCGGTATATCATTCAAATCTTTATAGAAATACAGGTTTTAAACCAATATTAGACAGGGCCTTCATGACCAAGGCATGGAAAATTGAACTTTCTGTAAAACATCCACAAATCTGATCTCTACTAAATTAGAATAAACTCTTTCACAATTCAAGTCATCACTTTTTCATCAATCAAAGAGTACAATATATCATCTGCTAAGAGCAAGAAGGAAATTATTTCTACAAAGCCCTTTAAACTCTTGAAAGATGATATCGAGGGGTCAGTGACACAAAGACGTAACTCCATTTTGGCCATTTTGAGAAAAAGTGGCTTGTGTGTCACTGAGCACTTGGGCCTTAAGCAGTTAAGTCTATGTTTCACTAGCCATTGACTTCAATGGGTGGAGTTAAGTCTTTGTGTTTCCTGGAAAGCCTACATTTTTCTGAACATTTTGATATAAAATACTCATTTTGGCAAAATATGGAGTTATGTCTTTGTGTCACTTATTTCTGTCCCTAGTCCCACTTACTTGCAACCATGCGACCTATGGGACTGCCTACACTGATGTCTTGTAGTAGCTCCATAGTCTCTGTGTGGAAGAGACGTATGCTGTCACATTCAGCGAACGAGACCCAGACGCCTACTCCTGCGACCACCATCTTATCAATCACCATGTGAGGGTCGTGGGCAGAAAAGCTGACCTGTAGGGGGAATCATTAACACTGTTAAAGTGGAAGTCCATCTTGATCACAAGTTTATTTCAAAGCCTGTCTACACTAGTTTGGCCAGGAGGGATTAGACCACCCTGCTGATCACTGACAGATGGTTATCTCATCAAATCAGCTCTCAATTAACATAAGAAAAAGAGGATCATGGGGGGGGGGGGGGGCAACAGGCACTGCCTAGGCATTGTTTTCTGTATAGAGGGAGCAAGTAGCTACAAGTAGTGCAGTGGGGCTTTAAAGCAATATAAACAGATACGGCTAGGTAAAAGTTTGAGGGAAATCCAAAAAATGATCAGAAAATTTATGTTTTTGAATTTGTATCATTTAAACATACATACATGTAATGTACACTGACAAATCTGAGAAAGAAAATTAGGGAATGAAAAAATAAAGATAGGGAAGAGAATGGATGAAAATGAATAAAAAAGGAATAAATAAATGAACAGAAAAAAAGAAAGATAGAAAATGAAAGAGGAAGAAAATAAAAAAAGGTAAAGGAGGAGGAAGAAAAGGAATGAAAAAAGAGAAAGAAGAGAATGGATGAAAATGAAATAAAAAGGGAATAGAAATTGATTAACAGAAAGAGAAGAGAGAAAATGAAAAAAAACAATAGGAGGAGAAAGAAAAGGAATGAAAATGAAAAGTACAAGTTCTGACCTGTTTAAATTCACTCTCTGTGTCTATGAGATGAACCTTGTTCTCACATCCACACCACATATCATTACGGACAGGGAGCAGACATGTTGCAGCGCCCTCGCCCAGCTGAGATACTCTAGGCTCCTTTACTTTCCATTCTCCTTCTAACAAAATAAATAATAGAAAAATGAATTACTGCTCTATTCTTTTAGAATAAAAAGTAAAGGGATACATAGTGGGTATATTTATCACAAGGTGCCCAGTGTTTTTCCTTAATTATCCTTGATTCTTCTCTGAAATTAATATTAATATTAATAGTGAACATTTGTAATGCGCCATGTCTGTCAAAAATGACACTCCTGGCGCAGTTGTGTGGAAATTGTGGGCATATGACCATCAAGTAATTCAAGAAAGAAAGTAAAATACACATAAGCTTAAGTTTAACATGCTTCAGGACATAATTTGCAGTAATAGAATGATACAATACAAAGCATATTGCAGTAATAAAAGTTATATAAGGGTAGTACACTGTAAGACATTTTAAAATTCCAGGATCATGAAATGGTTTGTTTTACACAAAAAATTCATATTGGCTAATCATCAGGTGGATAAGCTGTTTGGATGCTGCATATGAGACTAACTACTTCACTTGGAGGCAATGAAACTGCTTGAATTTTCTTTGATTTGGGAATCTGATCCAAGGTTGAAGTACAGAATTTGGTTAGTGTAAGATATTAACCATAGAGCAAATGTAGCTAGCGCACGTATCAAAAAACCGATATCTTCCGAACCATTAATCTGTTCAATATGATTTCAGTAGAACTATGTTACTTTATGCTAATTCTGATTTCTTTTTAATTTGTGTTTCCATATGTTGCAATAAACTATATTTCTCGTATTTATACTGATTTATTTTTCAGATTCAATATATCACGTTATGCTATGTTATATCTTACATTATGTGTTATTAATTTTGTTTGTAAACTTTTGTAATTAACTTTTGTATATGAAATAAACCATTTTGAATTGAATTCAATATGAATCTCACCGTGTGTCCTGACATAGATGAGTACTGAGCCGTTGGATAGAGACATAAAGACTCTGTTGTTGAGGTACTGAATAGCTGAGATGGGATGGCTGGCCTTGAAGGTAGCAAGGGGCTCACATTTGTCAGACTGGTTTATTCTGTAGATCAACACCCTGTGGAAAAGAAGAGTTGGATTTAAAAGTGGTAACATTTATCTCAAATGACGGCTTTAAAGGCATTGTTTAGAATCTGAGGCAAAGATACCCAATCCCTTTAAGTTACTTTTCCTTTGTGTTGTTACTTTAACTATTGTAATATCCTCCTCATTATCGTCATTGTCATCATGAACATTATCCTTTTCACAATCAGCTTCAACTGATACACATCATCCTTATAATCATAACAGTCATCTTCATAATAATCTTGATCATGACCTAATCTAATTTTCATTTCATCTTTCTCCTCCTCATCTTCTTCCTCCCTCTCCTCTTCCTCCGCCTCATCTTCTTCCTCCTCTTCCTCCTCTTCCTCTTCTTTCTCCTCTTCATCACCATCCTCATCATCATAATTATCATCAACCACTGTCATAATCATCACCACCACCACCATCTTCCCCCATCTTGCTTCCCCTCTCCACCCCTCTAACTACCCTTGACCCCATCTCGACTCACCTTCCTGTCTCAGTGCCCATCCACACGGTATGCCTGGTGAAGCAGTAGTCACTCTTCCTCTCGCTCTCCCTCCTGTTGAGGTACCCACCCATCGGTCCTGGCCCGTTCCACCCCGGAACGCACTCCATGCACATGACACGCCCCTCAGTGGTCTCAAACGTCTCTAGGAGCTGCGGAGAGGGGGGCATGAACCCAACCAGACTGACGTGACAGGTCTTCTGGTCCGAGTTGCAAACCCAGAGACAGTTTCTGGCGCCCTCGTTCTGTAGCATACCTTTCCGTCGGCTACGGTGGCCTGGTTGCTCTAACGGGCACAGTACTGAACACTGGAACTAGACAAATGAGAAAGGAAATACATGGATTGTAAAGCAGTGATTCCCACAAGCATTAAATTTCAACGATTTTCATAACAAGATACCTGCAATATCCCGACAACTGTCAATTTTACTTCGTTTATTCCAATTATCCCAACCTTCCAAAGTAAAAGTTAGAAATATCTAAATATTCAGTATGCTTTTGTACCGAAGGACCAAGCATTCTTACCTTAGCTTGCTGTCGTGTAGGGAAGACGGGAAGAGCTTTCATGATGAGGGGCACGCCAAAGTTCATCTCCGCGTGGGTTGTGTCGCCCTCGTCTGGTGCATACCAACCAGGATTGTTGTGAGGCTCTGAGAACAAACAGGTGAAACAACCTTCAATTGTGTGTACTACTCACCATATAATCCAACAAAGGACATCTCAGATGACAGTTTACTCTTTTTAATTCTCCACAGATTTGTTTGTGTATGTTGTTTCTTTTTTTGCTTCCTCATACTCATCTCCTTTCTTTAGTTCTTCTTTCTCTCTAATTCTCATTCTTAATCCTTTTCATCTTCTATTTCTTACTTCTTCTATCTTTTAAAAAAACTTATTTTGGTTAGTTATTCACTAAAGAGAAAAACAGCATTCAAAAGGGAAAACATAACAGTCCATCCAGGTTTAAACTCCTTACTTGCATGTACATGTAGTAGGTCCTTGTACAGGTTTTAAAGAATACATGAAGGGAATTGATTAATGGTGATGTCTTAGATCATCTAGATTAACAAAGAAGAACCATATGGCAGCCGTGCTAAAGCCAGGGTAATAATCAGGAGCGCCAGGAGGGTCAAATCTGACTGACATGAGCACTATACAAGAACCCATTATTATTATTATTATTATTATTATTATTATTTTACTACTTCATTGACCTTTTCATACCCTGCTATTCTCCAACTTCTTCTCCCTCCCTCTATATATCTATTTCATCTTCATTATAGGCCATCCCTATTAACCGATTGACTGCTGAAATCTCTTACTCCCATAAGTTTAGTACATGGACCACCCGGTTACAGCAGGCAATGGGTTTCTATTGCTCCTCTTCTTATCCTTCATTTTCTTATACAGTCAAATCTGGTTTAGCGACCACTTGTCTACAAAGATCACCTGCCTATAAAGACCACCTGTCTACAAAGACCACCTGTCTATAAAGACCACATTTTTTGTTTCCCTTGAAAAAATGTTTTCTCATTGAAACATGTACTAAAAGGAACCTGTCTACGGTACAAAGACCACTTTTCTTGTCTCCCTTGGGTGGACTTTATAGACAGGTTTCACTGAACATGTTCCAGTATCAAAAACTTACTCATTCCTAGTTTAGCGGTCTCTAGAGCTGTGATCCAATCCAGTTTGATCTTAGCGCTAACAGCATCAAAGACGAGTGTCACTCTCTGCTCCCTGCATGCCAAAAAGAAATTAGAACAGATCAAATATTGGACTGTCTCCAAATTTAGTCTTGAACTAGTAAACAGTTCAGTACTTTGTGCTGAATGTTAAATAATCATGAATAAATAGCAAAAGATGATTGTACTTATGTTTTAATCAGAAAATCTTCCAAAATGATTTTTTTTCTTTCTAGAATTGTAAGCAACAATGATATTCATGGCAGCAAATTTTTGCAAATCACTATTACTCAGTGTCGTGTCATTCGTAATCCAATTATTTTATTGCAAGCAATTTTCATGAATCTCAAGCAATCGTGAAATTTGCAAACATATTGCGCAATATACATGTACAAACACCATTGTGCTTTTTTTTCTTTCCATAAAAAGTGAGGTTTTAGTTATTATCTTTCAAATTATCTCTAGTAATAACATTGAGAAGAACCAGGTGCACACAAGATACTCCAATATTTTTTCTCTTGACTTCTAGATCAAAAACATTTTAGTTTTGAGCTCTGTATTAAACTGAGTTGATTAACTAAAATATAAAATGGATCAAATAAAAATAAGAGCGACTTACATCTGAACTGAAGGAAGCGAGATCTGTATTTTACTGACATCTGCCTGCTTGATTTCTTGTCCTTTCTTTGTGATGAGTTTATTGATAATCTCACTCCATTCATCAATATCATCTCTTGTGAGGACACCATACGTACCCTGCAAGGAAATAGGTGAATACTTCAGTTAGGCTAGTCATTTAATTTACACTATCTATGAGTTGAAGTTAGCGCCTTCTGACGTCTGCCAGCTTGATTTCTTGTCCTTTCTTGGTGATGAGTTTATTGATAATCTCACTCCATTCATAAATGTTATTTCCTGTAAGGACACCATACCTACCGTGCAGAAAAGTAGGTGAATACTTTAATCAGTAATTGCATTGGAATTATGTTACCTGGGAGTTGAAGGTAGCACCTTCTTCTACTTTAGGTTTACACTCTGTTTTGTATGACATAGTAGCTACAATACATGTCATACAATGTACATATGAACATTTGTACAGTAACGTTATACAATTTTGGTTTTATATAATGATGACATGGCCATGCACCTGATTTGATTTTTTATCAAACTTTTGTTTGAAATGATGCTCAAAATTCTGTTTTCACTCCATGATGTATCATCAAGACTTTCAAAAAAAATTATTACTCATCTATGTATTTTAGCCATGTACATAAATATTGCTATAACTCTTGGAGGCTTCTTCTTAGACGTTGGCGACCATGGAATGCCACAACTCTCTGTCCCATATTCTATGAAGTAATTCATTCTCCCCGAGATCAATTCCACATTCAAAAATCCCACTCCGTAAGCTACTAATCCACAGAATCCTCCTACCCCTACTCCTCCCCTTGATTCTTCCAGTCAGTGCAAGATTTTCCAAACCATTCTTTCGAATATGAACATGATCCAAAAAACTCAGATGTCGACCTCTTATATTATTCAGAAGCTTTTGTCTTGTCTCAAAGACATGAGGGGCAAAACAAGGGAAGGGAAGGGGAAGAAATCCTTTCAATTTTTTAATTTTTCAATGACATAATGTACCTTGAGGGTACCCAGCAGTGCTCCTAGCTGCTTGACGACGGCAAGGTCATGGAGGAGGTCATTCCTTTCCTGGTAGAGCTGCCTTGTGGAACCACCGTACAGGTATTCTAAAAGAGAAATAGGAAATAAGCATACAGATTAATCTCCTATTGTAATTTTTGTGTGTATAATTTACAGATACAAGTGTGAAATATTTTGATGATCCATCAATGATCTATTATGAACTGTAGTTGAAATATCTAAAAAAAGGAATACCCAATTCAAACTGAAGTGGTTGATAGAATTTAACCAAAAAATGCTCTATACAAGGAAAATTATTATTGAAAAAAGATATTATTCAGTATATAATACAAGATATTTTAAAATTTCGTCTTTTATTATTTCTACAAAACCATTTGGCAAAACATATTATCCAAATCTTGTTATTGATATAAATATTTAACCATATTTTTTTCCTTGGTTAACTCGCCCTTTTCATCACTTGTTGCAACATTCCCCAAAAATGTTTGAATCACCTTTAGATTTCTGCTAATATTAAGAAAAGATGAACTCCGTACATACCATGTTCATCCATGTGTTGTGTTGTGATCTTGAGTTTGCCAGGCTCTGAAGACATCTCGATATCCGTCCCTTCTATCGTTGGGTTGATCACCTCTACCTCGGTCAATGGAACGCTCCATCTGTGTTTAAATCTGGGCATGTCCATTGATCCTGGGGAGGATGGCTGGCCACTAGATGGGAGGGACAGAAACATGTGTTAAATTTGCTCAAAACTTTACTTGTAATTTATCAATGTTAGCTTTCACTACAAATATTACCACATTGAACATACTTTTATCACTTTTTTTCTTGATGACAGTAAAATAAATAAAATTAAATTGGGAAAAGTTTCACACACATTCCATTACTGCTTGGCTAATGATACATTTGTAATAATCAAGCATAACATTATCACAGTTCTGTGTTGTCTTGAAGATAATCCTCTGTAGATTGTTAACAAACTGTTCACGTGCTTACATCTTATCATCAGTAAACTTAAATCCCGTCTGCACTAGTTTGGCCAGGGGGATTAGACCTCCCTGCAAGGTCACTGACAGGTTGTTATCTCTTCAAATCAGCTCTCAATTAACATAAGAAAAAGGGGATCATGGGGGACCAACGTGCGCCGCTTAGACATTGTTTGCTATATAGAGGGCGCAAGTAGCTATAAGTAGTGCAGTGGGGCTTTAATTTATCTAGATTTTAAAAGACAGTGATCTCTTCGGGCCGAGATGATCAAACGCTCCATGCTAGGTATACGTACTTGTTGAGTACTGTAGTGCATACGAGTAGATCGTTGAGCATGAAGAGACGTCTCTCCTTGCATTTCAGCTCCTCTCCTTGACCATCGTAAGCCTGTAACAGGATGTGAACAGATCATTAGGTCATATGTGAATGGGCTATCATTAGATAATATGACCACTAGCATATCTGAAGAAGGGGTGGGTTCGGGGGTATGCCACTCCTGATAGATTATGTTTTAAACCAAAAAACAGTGGAGGGACATTCAACTAGTAACATGATGTGGACAGATCATTAGATCATATGTCAACGGGCTATCATTAGATAATATGACCACTAGCATATGTGGAGAAGGGGGGGGGGGGAGTGGGGGTGGGGAGATATGCCGCGACCCCTTAGATAGATTTTTTTTTAAACCAAAATTTAACCAAATAATGCAGGGACATTAAACTAGTAAGGTACATGTATGCTCCAGTGGGTTAAAGAATCATTTAAAAAATTTATCATTCTAAAATAGTTTGCTCTTTGAAACAAACAAAATTACAAACAAATTCTCAATAAACTTTCTGCCCTTGCTTGAGAAGTGGTTATCATACTATTTTACATCATTGAAAGCTCAAGATGTTTTATCCCTCCTTGGGGTAAGGTCTGGATATGCCACTGACTGTGAAACATTATCATGTACACACAGTAGCTGCATGTGCATGTTAGAAGGGATGTGGACAAATGGCTGGCTTTGGCAGAGAAACATTACTGTTGGCAAAATGTTGCTTTTTCTGAGCAGCTTCATAAAATTTGATGTCAATAATATGTCAAAATCTATTTTTACTGAAGATTTAAGATTGAGTTAAATACCTATGGTAAAACTTTATCCCTGTATAAAATTTGATTAAATTCATAGTTTTGGATGCAAATAAAGACAAGAAAGTGACCACTAGGAGTGACTTCAATTATTAGACTAACTATTTAGAAATGAGTTGAAAATATATACTTTTTGATTTTTATAACTGATTGGTTCTAGAATGTTGAGTGCATGCATCAAAGTATCATATTATTTCAAGGTCTACATGAGCCAACAAAGTTGAAATGGGAATATGGGCAACATGCATGCATTCAGAGGGGCAGATCTAGGATTCCTTATAAAAGTATAAGGTGGGAGACTTCAGGAAGAAAAGAAAGATTTGAGGGAAAAAAAAAAGGAAAAAATTGATTGTAGGCAGAAGAACACAATTTAAAAAAAAAATAAATAAAAAATATTTGTTTATTTATTATTATTAATATCATCATCATCATCATCATCATCATCATCATCATCATCATCATCATCATCATCATCATCATCATCATCATCATCATCATCATCATCATCATCATCATCATCATCATCATCATTGGGGGGGGGGGGGGGACATATTCCCCCTCTAAATGCTTATGCAAATAAAAGTATGCTACATACTTGTAGGGGGGGGGGCACAATGCCCCCTGCGCCCCTGGATCTGCCCCTGTTCATTTCACCTACATGCTTTTAATATTGCTAATCATGCACAGACTACATTACACATGCACATTCAATATTTACCAATCGTGCACTGACTACAATGTACATTAATCTAATATTTACATAAGACAATTCAAATACATGTAATTGATTTGATTTATGCGATGTCTACAACATGCATGCACAACAAATATACAGCTCAAATAAATGTACATGTAATTAAATAAATCAAAACCATAATACGGCACCATGAAAATGGAAATTCAAGAGAGATTAGTTACCACCAAAAGGTTTTTTTTTGTTAACACATTTTTGGTTTGCACCCAATAAATAAAGTTCGCATGCCAGATCTGTGATTGAATTTTTAATTATTTTTTTAATAAACTCGTATATATAATACCAAACATAAATTTGAAATCAATTTCTGTCCACTGTCACTTTGAAGTGCACATTTGTTACATAAAATAATCCGTCTTGTTGAGATACTACACTGTATGTGTCTATCAAATACAAATTAAAACATATTTACTGGTTATAAAAACCATATATCTTCAAATTCACTTAGGATGATGAATGCAGTCAAGCTATCAAATGCCCCAAATTCTCAAATTTAAAGCTTAAAAAGTAAGGAGGACAACATAAAATGTCTCCATTACTCAATTTTAAAAGAAAAATATATATTACAATGAAAATTTTTAAGAGAAGTATATTCAATCTGATAAGTTTGGCCGGGATAAAACACCCCAGAAAATTCTCTTGGGTACACTTTTACTAAGCTCTGAGAAAAAAAAATCAATATTAAATGCTCGCCATATTGCCTAAGAAGAACATACTACATGTACATGACAGACAGAACACCTGCAGAAAAACATAGTCACATCACCACACAACATCAAGTGATGCACTCCAAAGATAGGGTGTTGCTATGGAAACAGTATTGAGTTGAGTAGCCATGGGAACCCCTCAATGAAAGACTAGGTTCTACCACCACCCACATGCCGGCAATCAGTCAACCTTCATAGCGCTCTACTCGTTCGGTCGATAAATCGGCACCCGGTCGATAAATCACATCACACGATTGTTCATGTTCCAGTTCTTCCATTATTCAAAAACAAAGACATCTACAGAAGTCAAATCATTTCTGATTAAAGGGGAACAATCGTCAAAATTTACTAATGTTTCAGGTGTTGTTTACAGCGCTTTGTAAATGCAAGGAAATGGCACTGTATTTAATACCTTCAGGATTGGATTGGATTGGATTGGATTGGAGAATTGTTTTGCTCTGTGTATTTGGGGTTTCATGTTGGTATACTACAAATAAAATACCAGCTTTACATTTATATTACTTTTATGAATATATAAGAACTCTGCTTAGACTTGTCTATAGGAACAAATTAACCCATAATCTGCTTTGGTTTGATAGAACAATGAGTAGATTGCCACAAGCAACATTTGTCACACACACATTGCATATATGTAACAAACAGCTAAATATTGAAACAATGTGGGAGTTTGCAATTTCAATTGACAGCAGATAAAGAGTTGATTACATGAATAATCAATAACTTTCCCCACATCCATGAAGTGTTCCTAAACTTTTCTCAAACATGGCTCAACATAACTTGCAATATAATGAAAGAGAGTAGAAACAATGGGGTTTATTTGTTGTTGCAGTTGCCATAGCAACAAGTAGAATGAAGGATTGCTTTACAAACAAGGAAGACTGATTACTGGCAATGAGGAACTAAAATATCAAATACAATCATAAATATCAACACAAAACAATCATACAGGAACTCACTTGATCCTAAATATGAATATTAAATGGGTGGAGAGAAAAAATGGAAAGACAAATAGGGGTAGGTGATTAATTAGGTACTAGACAAATGCATATCATACATTATGCATCATTCCAGGCGAGTATATGAAATTACAGAAAGTAGGGTTATCATGTATAGTTGATATTCCATTCCTGGCTTATATGTACACATACATACAAAATTGAAAGAGTAGAATATATCATTCAAGAGAAACAAGATGAATAAAGTGCAAATAGTCAATGACATGTATCTCAAACGTGTAAGATGGTCTATGAGATTGTCCAAACAAAATCTTATGGGTAATTTATAATACATTCTGTAGGGTGAGAGAATACAATACACCTAGAATTTAGAATAGATGTTCTTGTCTCTTATCAAAAGAGTTAGGTACTGAAAATTGTTACTTAGCCCAATATCAGTTGCATTAAATGTTACCCGAACTTTAGTAACATTAGTTCCACTTCAAAGGATTAGTGCACAACACAAAGACAATCATTTTTCTGGTAAATATAACAAGATTGCTGTCAAGAATTAGATGTTAACACATTTAAAAGAATTTTCATATCTTCAACAAATATTATGTTAAACAAGCTTGTTTTGAAAATGGATTACAAGGGGAGGTAGCAGTTATTCTGTTATTATTTATAGAACTATGAGGGAGAAAATCCAATTGATTAAATTACATTTCAATGGTTTTAATACCGGAAAGTACACTAATATTAAAGAAATTGTTATTGTGTTTTGTAACTAAATCTGTGTTGTGTGCTTTGAAAAGAAACACCCCCTGTTAGCAGTGGTAAGACAATATACTAGTTCTGGCAATGGTAGAAAGTCAACACTGGTCTTGAGCGTGACTTTATGGATAATTCCATCAGCTAAGACTCAGAAGGGCATTAATCCATGTATTAAATCATACTAAAGGCCTTTTAGCTCTTAGCTGATTATGTTAGAATGGAAAAACATAATTCTTAGGATTGCTGAGCTATTTAGCTCTGAAATGCACCAAGAACTATGGTTTAAAAAAACAAACATCCTAGTATTACATACAAATCGTAATGAAATCCTGCTTGTTCGAAAGCAAATCCAAAGTCTCATTTATGAAGTATTTTTTACACTGTTAATAAGTCAATACCAGTAAATGATCCTAACATAGACATACAAAATACAGCTAAGACAGGTAAAACAATCAAACAATTAACTGTTTAATGAGGGATAAGTTGGTTAGGTAAAAACACTTCAAAACATGTCAGGATGAAAAAAACAAAAACATTTTCAGGGGGCTTACCGACGCTCTGTGGCTTCGTGGTTTGACGATAACCTTTGACATTAAAGCATATAATGTGGAATAATTTATGTGTATAATAACAGAATATCATCACTGGTTTAGTGAACCTTTGACCTTTGACTTTGAAGCCTAAAACGTGGAATCATTTTTGTGTTACGTAACAGAATATTGCACTGGTTTCGAAAATCTACTCATCTCCTATACTGAGGCGTATACTCGTATGTCTGGTTGCAAAACCAGTGATGATTTACTGACCAGTTTTCTTGAAAAGGGACTGACTTTTGACCACATTTATTACCTGAATAAAAAGGAGTTAGAGCACCAATTATGAAGAGCTAACGGTTGAACTCTTTACCTCACACAAATTACCCTAGTTCAGCTGCTGAGTAAATACAAATTAATCACCTGTAGAACAGGAAAGCAGTAGCACAAACCAGAAATATTATATAGATTTTTTATTCCCCTTTTACAAACAGAACCCAGAAATTTTTTTCCCATTTAGATTGATAGTAAAGAATAGAGGATTATAATTGCCAACAGAGAACACACTGAGCCCTTTTCAGTAACATAACAAGAAAAAGAAATAATTATAAATTATCAAGAGTCCATTCCATGTTAATTTCAATGATGACCATATTCATACTACAGTCATGCTTTCTCGTCAGAAAGATGAATTAAGATTCCAAATGAGTATGACAATAGTGCAAAACCTAGGTCTGTTAGTGCATTCAATATGCATTCATAAATACAAATAAATATCATTTTGCATTTTTTGTTTTTAATCAAGCCATGCTTTTTGGATGCTTCCATACCTGCCTGTAAGAAGGACCTCTTAATCTGCATCTTTTCTGAGTCATATAAAAGAATAAATCAAAGGCTAAAACTCTCCAAAATATACAGGGGGTGACAACTTTCAACCATATTTGAATAAAGTACATGAAGCATAATATTATTTCACATCAATTTTAACCTCATATAAGTTAGGCTAAGACCCATGAAAAATGTGTTTTTCTGAAAAAGAATTGTATTCAACAGGTTAATATAAGTACAATAGATTCTAAGTGATGTACTTATTTAGAACTTTATTTTGTCTCCATGCCCCCCCCCCCCCCCGAGCAAAAAAAAAAGTTTAATGAACATGGTATTCATGACAGCAGGTTTCAAATCAGCATATTTGATTGGTGTCGATATTCTAGATTCCGGCTTCAAATGTTGTGTAAATGCAGCCAAAATGGAACTCTTTATTGCTTTTTGCATTGAGTGACTAGTTCCTTTAAATAAAATGTCTACTCATATCTACTCACTGTTTGGAGCATGTCATCTTGCCTGATGAGCCATCGATTCCTCTCTGAGGACATCTGAAAAAGAAGAAGTAAAGAAATAGTTTGCAATAATTTAGAAAATAATCAGTATATTTTGCGTGAAAATCGTATTTCAAACAGTATGTTTTGCATAATATTTAGAATTGGTATAATAGTGTGCCAAATGTGAAGTATAAGTATAAAGAATAGACTCTCTTTACTATAGTTATGTTATTCAGTAACAGAATAGCATGATTGTAAGTATTTCCCACATGTATAAGCTCAAGAAGTTTAAGTGAGATATTAAAATTATTACATGTATGTGCTTTACCCGAGTAGGACTCCTCGATTCGTATCAATAATTTTTATATAATGAGATAATTGTTGTTTCATTATCAATGATGTATGATTTGGTTTTATATTGTATGGAATGAATGCCATAAAGAAAGCTACAAAAGTAAACAAAATGATGTCATGATGAAGAAATTATCCCAAGTGCACAGCCTAGAAAAACATCAACCATAAAGAGGTGTACCCTGGGGCATCCTTTAGCACTTCTCGCTAAGAGAACTACATACCTACGACGACTACTTGACATTGAAGCTCCCGAATTGATTGACAGCATATTGTCTCTCTACACCTCTAAACTAAGTTCATAAATAAAAGGGAGCCCTCTAGAGGCCAACCAAGGGCAGGCATCAACATGGGGACGTGGCATTGGGGTTCCTGATGCGCTCTTTGACGTCATCAATTGCTTGACGATACCACCTATACAGCGATAGAGAGCTCCCCCATGGGTATGCATCTCAGAGAACTTGACATTGGAGTTCTTGATAAGGCTGACATTGAAGTTCTTGACAAGCTGTCTGGCAATGCCTCTGTCTACATTATATGACCTACATCGTAGAGCTATCAAGTCCCCAGGGGCTACAATTAGCATTGAGGCTTGTGATAAGCTGTTTTACAATGCATCACTGTAATTATAATAGCCTACCATCATATGGGCAAACGCACCAGAGGGCAGCCAGCAATGACTTACATTGACCAGTTAGAAAAAGACACCTGTCTACCAAGGCAGGAACTCCCAAATATCATGGGGAATAGAATGGAATGGATAAAGCTTGTCAAATCAGTGCGAGTATGCTCGACCTAGATGTACCATCATATTCTGATGAAGTCTGCTATAGCTACAAATGTAGGTACATACCTCGGAACAGAAGCCGAGGTTTAGGTTCTCAGGTACATGAGCAGTTACACAGAACATCTGCACCTACATAATATGATTAAACTTGTAGGGCTAGAAATGTGGATGTATACGTTGGACGGGTTTGACCGTTTGACATCATGTCTGTGTTCACTTTGCTTTTTCCCCTTAATATTGATGTCACTAGCTAGGGTCTCAAGTTCAGGTGTAGAGGGCACACAAATATTAGAACTATCGAAAGAGAACCCTCTAAAAGTTACCCAAGGGAATACATACCTTTGAGGAGAACTTTACGTTGAGGTTCTTGATGAGCTGCTTGACGGCATGTCTCTGCTCACTCTGTTTCTTCCTCTCGTTGAGGACACTAGCTAGGGTCTCCAGTTTGGTGAGAGCCAGCTGCAGGGGCATCCTGTCTGGGTGCCCTTGGTGTGTCCTCTTCAACAGATCCTGAGTAAGAAACAGAAACATAAGTATATTGTGCTTTTGATGCTCAATGAGCTAAACACCATACTATCTCTAACTCTGGACTATTACTATCGGCCTTTTCTGGGCTACAACAATTCATGCTATTCATTTAGCAAGAGGGGGGGGGGGGCAGTTTGCTAGTATTACATCATCTGGATTTGAACGACTTCTCTAAAAACTTCTCCAAAATTTCCATCTTGTCATGAATTGAAGGGAGTTACACTAACATTAATAATACAACTGCCAGTTGCTATGGATTGTTTTGTTTTGTTTATGTTTCGTACCTCGTACTTGATTTCTCATTCCTCTTTAGAAGGAAAATTTACATCAGTTCAAAACAGAAAGCACACAATCTGCAAAAAGACTTGTGGATGGCCAAATGCAAGAAATCAAGCAGCTGTCCACTATATATTGGACCATAATTGTTAACTTTTCAATTATTCCTTTTGGTAAATCTCCCCTGAGTTTCTAGAAGTATTCAAGGTGCATACTCTCTGTTGAATATCTTTGAAACCAAGAAGATCCAAAAAAGAAAGACACAGAGAACAAGACTTTGCCAAAACGGTGATGGTTAAATAAATTAAAAGTTCTATGTTTTACCTGTAGAAGACAGATGAATTGTGGGAACCGCTGAACTGGTTTTAACATGAGACCGTACAGACTCAGACGGTCACTGCTGGATTGCTGACGACTCTGAAAGAATAAGATCAATTCAAACATAAGTAGTGTTTTGCGATCTCTCTTTACCTGATTCAATATAGATATTTTTAAAATTCAGAGGGGTGTTTGATCAATAAGCCAGTTCACGGTTGCAGTCTGAGCATGAGCAGATAAAGGTCATTGCAGAACAAATTTTGAAATACATGGAGACAAAATACTGGATACGTGCTCATGAAAGTTATGTAACATTATTCATTCATGCACAGTCAGTGCAATCCATGGTACACAGGTGGAGGTATTCTTTGAAAAGGGGGAACAAAGGCTATTTATATAGCACATCCATCACTGTAGGAGTGATTTTTTCAAAATGTGCAATGTTGGACCTCTTCATGTTTTGAAGATCTGTGGATATAAGGGGGTCATTGCAGTAAGGTGCTAACCGTGAACTGGTCTATAGAGGAAGTCTTCTGACATTTCCATTGAGTATGTCATAGTTGCATGCTTGAAATTTTCAATCTTGTAATTGTCATCATTGTCATCATCATCATCAAATCTCTCTTCGCTTCTTCTCTCTTCTACATGTATATCTCCTCCCTCCCTACATCCCCTTCTATTTCTCCCTCCCTCCCTCTCTCTTTCAAGCAGGTGTTCTTTTGTGAAGTATCTGGTATGTCCATTACCTCTATGAGTTCCCTTAAAGCTGCTTATTCTTCCCCCGTTTCCATCTTCACGCTCTCCCTCTTCACCATTAACACTACAACCATCATCACAATCATCTTTATCACAATTTTCACTACTATCACCACCATCTCCCCCCCCCCCTCCACCTCTCTCTCTCTCTCTTTCTCTTTGTCTGTCTGTCTGTCTGTCTATCTGTCTGTCTCTCTCTCTCTCTCTCTCTCTCTCTCTCTGTCTCTCTCTGTGCCTGTGTGTGTGTGTGTGTGTGTGTGTGTGTGTGTGTGTGGGTCTGTCTGTCTCTCTCTGTCTTTGGCTCTCTGTCTGCCTCTCTCCCCTCCTCCCTCCCTCTTCTTCTCCCTCCCTCCCTCCCTCCCTCCCTCCCTCCCTCCCTCCCTCCCTCCCTCCCTCCCTCCCTCCCTCCCTCCCTCCCTCCCTCCCTCCCTCCCTCCCTCCCTCCCTCCCTCCCTCCCTCCCTCCCTCCCTCCCTCCCTCCCTCCCTCTCTCACCTCAATGAATTCCCTGAAAGCTGGTTTCTGTGAGGCTGTCTTCTTCACTGTCTCCATGGCATGTGTGAAGTTATTGACGTACGCGCTGTACACCTCCAGGACCATGGCCTTGGAGAACTGAATAGAGGGTGAGAAAATCAAGAATCATTAGAGAGCTCGGAGGTGAGGTGGATGGGTATGAAGGAGAGTGAGAAGTGGTAGGTATGAAAGACCATGATGTATGTCTTCATCAGCTCAAGATCGCCAAATAGCCCGCTACTTCTGATTTGGGAAATAATCCTGAAGTTACAAATCGCGTCTTCATCAGCTCGAGACTCGACCTCGAAACTTGAAACTTGAGCTCACAAAATTAACTCAAGATATTTTGTTCAGCGTTCGCGCATAGTGCGAGTCTTCAGGCTAATGAGGACGCACTGCCAAATATCGAGATATTTTGCCAAATAGCGCGATATGTTGCAAACTAGCCTAAGATATCTTGGGATGATTATCTCAACCAAAAATCCTGCTAATTGCAACTTCAGGCTGATGAAGACGCAAATTAACTGGATAATTTGCGATCTGGATAGTTGAAATAGCAGGACATTTAGCAATCTCGAGCTGATGACGACATACCTAGTGAGAGGTATGGGAGAGCATGATGAATTGAAAAGGAGTATGATGGTGGCGGGGTGAAAAACAGACCATAGGGATCGGAAGTTGGAAAAATGGGGGGGGGGAGCAAGTGGTAGATAAAAGGAACTATTACATCCAGGAGCATAGCCTTGGAACAACTGAAGAGAATGTGGGAAAATTAAGAGCTATATTAAGAGAGCTTGGAAGTAGGAGAGAAATCAAGAGTCATTGGAAGGCCTGGAAGAAAGAAAACAAGAAAGGGTGGATTGTGGTAGTTGAAACGGAGGGAAGAAAGGATTGGATAATGACGTTTTTAAGTTCTGATAGCAGAGGGAAGGACCACAACTTTGAAAAACTGGAAAGGTGAGAAATGGAAGTCATTAGCAGACCTAGAAGGGGAAAGATAAAGAGTAGATAGAACAATGACAGTTAAGAGAAAGGAGGTAATCAAGAAAGGGAATAGTAACTGATGTTTTAGCAATTGTCAAAGATGTAGGAATTCAAGCCTTGGAGAACCAAGAGAAGGTCAGAAATGGGAGTCATTTGAAGACTTAGAAGGAAAAAGATAAAGAGTAGATGGAATGATGATAGTTAAGAGAGAAGTGGTAAACAAGAAAGGGCATGTAAATGATGTTTGGAAGATCTTCAAAAGAGATGAAGGATAGGAGACAAACAATGTCTTCGAGATTTGGATTGGTGAGAAACAGCAGTCATTAGAATGTCTGGAAGAGGAAAACCAAGAGGTGGGTGAAATTGTAACAGTTAAAAAGATGAGGTATAAGAGAACAAAGTAGTAACAAAGGCCTTAGGGATCTGAAAAAGGTGAAAGAAATGTAAGAATCAAATCCTTAGAGAGCTTGGTGGAATGAGTATTTGAGAGTCATTGGAAAGTTACTGGTTAAGAGAAGACCAATAACAGACAACTGCAAGATATAACAGAGCGTGTACAGAAACGATGAATACAAGGTAAGCATTAAAATTCAATTTTAACACTGTTAAGCTAAATAACAAACAAACATAGTATAACAATTATGATCAAAGTCATAAAGAAAAAGAGTTCAAAGCATGCTTCCCCCAGTTGGAGGTCTGTATATCCCTTTAACTGTTGCATCCAATCACTGTACACAAACTCTATTGATTCCATTCATACCCAAATTCGACACGACTTCTAATATGACAGCGCTTCTTTCTTTCACACGTACACGCGCCGTTCCCGGCTGGAATATTGCCTTATCGATCAGCGCTCATGAGGAAAAGCAGGAACATTATGTGGAGACCTTTCATTATTGAGTGCAACTGGGTGTTATGAATTTGTTAGCGGGCATTGATTTTTGCCAAGGTGAATACGAGCCGCATGCCCTACACGTACCTGGGCTAACGAGGGAGCTATCTTATATTGTCTGTTCGGAGCCAGAGGGGCGTTAAGTCATATGCTTCAACACCGTTAATGCCCTTCTGGCTCTCTAAGACGATATTGAGATGCAAGGTAGCTGTTGCAAAGGCCTCTCTCTCTACGCAATATCCAACGTCCCCTTTGGGTGATAGGCTATTCTTGTAACATGTAATATACTAAGAAATTAATATTTTATGAGTGATATCTCAAGTAGTAGATTGTCAAATCACACGATGGATGTATTGATTACATGGATTTGCTTTAGGAAATGTACCATCAACACGTGTGATTAACTCTTTTATTCGTAATATTTTGTATCGATTGACAAATTTTGTACATGCACCTGGGCCATGTTTCACAAAACTTGTTATCGAAAACAAGTTACCACAGTTGATGTATGCTACTTAAATCAGAAGATCTAATTGGCTATGAGCGACTTTATTAGAGATCTATGGCATTTGATACTGATATAAAGAGCCAAAAAAAAAGTAAAAGAAAGATGGAAATAAGAGTGTAAAAGAGTACAATGAGAAATGAAAGAAGAAAAGAAAAATATCAAGATAGAAAGTAAAAGTGAGAGCACGAAAGAAGAAGATATACAAATAAAGAGAGAGAAGAAAAGAGATGGAAAGGTGGAAAAAGTGGACAATTCTAGAGTGAAGAGGAAAACAGAGGAAAGATTAGATCATACAAGAAAAGACAGAAAAGGTGACATTACATAGTGACATCAATAAAGGAGATAGAGAGATAGAAATCAAAGGTCAACCGCATAAAAACTCACCGATGCTACAAAGACATCGCCGATCTGTTCGATGTTGTCCCATTCCTTTATTCGACTAGCGAGGGCGATCTGGAACATTAGATGACATTGGTAGATGCCCCTCACGCGATAGAAGATCGTTTTCACCTTCTCCTTCTCCAACAATGGGGGCTCACTCTCAAGCAGGGGCTTCTCGTAGGCCTGACAATACAAAAAGGAAAAAAATTACAAATATAAAGAAAACAACAACTTTGAGCAAATGCTGTAACAAGATCTGTAGCTTATTGTTCAACTTCAGATAAAAAGAAATATATTTTTTTTTAAAAATCAAAAAATCATTGAGCATTGACTAATGATGCGGTAATGATTCTGGTAAAACTACCATTACTAACTGGTCATATAAAGCTTCTTCGTGTTTTTTTAATGCTTAAATTGTACAGGATACATTTCATTTCCCTTCAGTGTTGGTGCTATTAAAAACAAAACTGTTTGCATTGGGAGCTTATTAAAGTCCTTCTTTTTACTTCTCTAAATTATTTTTCTGACTTTGTTGTATTGCCAATTTTTATGCCGGTGGTAGGTATAAAACCACCCCATGATACTTTACCTCATCAGTTAACAAACAACATATGTCAAACATAACTTTTTTGCCTACTCTTGGGTGTTCTATTAATCAACTTTTATTACCATTGTTCTTTCCCCTCTCGATTTTCTTCTTCTTTCTATTCTTAAGGGGGATCAGAAGGTATTTGATTTTGAACAAGATTTCCATCGATTTGCGTCACAATCCGTTTCTCCCACTCGGCGCAACAATATATCTTCAAGTTTCTATGGCAACCAGGAGTATCTTCCTACACTTTAACACCTACTCATTCTTCTTAAGATTACAATTAATTTTATATCAAACCTTCCACCTCTGCAGCTGCTATAAAAACAACCAGTCAAATAGTAAGCCTGTCTTCATCAGCTTGAGTTTGCCAAATAACCCGCTATTTTCAGACTCGGGATATTATCCCGAAACTCAAAATTTCGTCTTCACCAGAACAATACGCTCATCACAAACTAGCTCAGACAGGCACAAATTAGCCTGCTACTTCTCAAATAGCGGGATATTTTAGAATCAATATTTCTCAGAATATTTTCTCGACTAAATATCCCTGGTTAATTTGTGATCGGGATAGTTAAAATAGCGGGCTATTTGGCAAACTCGAGCTGATATAGACAGGCTTATAATGTTCAGCGTCAGAGGGGCATTAACTCTCTGTTTACGACCTTCTGGCTCCAAAAAGATGAAATCATTTATAATTTTTTATCATGATTTTTTTATTATTCCACTATGATTTTGCCAAGGGGTAATTAACCTGAGCAAGCTTTTGGAGAGACACTTTGCAGGTGCTATTAATTTACTGAGGAGGTCATGATGCTCTCAAGTTATATAATAAAATAATAATAATAATAATGAACATTTGTATAGCGCCTTTTCTACAAGTAGATACAAAGCGCTTAATTAACATATACAATGAACAATTAACAAAATAGAAAGATATCTTTGGAATGTTCCATTATTCTTTTAGCGAGGGTGACTTATCAGATTTTTTTGATGGACCTCATAGAGCTTTAATTATACAATCAGTCAGTCAATGATATTCCATCACACAGTTAGCACAATTCTAACTCTATGTTATCCAATTTCTATCTTTGGAATACTCCATTATAAAGGATAACTTTTAGAGAAACTTGGCTAAGTTGATATTGTAACACCCTGCTAGTAAATAATATTTCATGTTCAATCTTTGGAATATTCCACTGTGTTACAAGGGACCTTACCTATACTAGCCTATAGAGGGACTTTTTAAAAGCAGCTATTACATAATCTGGCAGAAAATGATATCAAACAAATCTGTGGAATGTCTCATTCTGTTATGGGGATCTTACCTGGACTAGCCTTTGGAGGGACATCATATAATTCCTCTCACTGTCCACAATAGCTTGCACCACGTGTCTCCTCCCGATCTGTTCCAGGGAGAGCCCCTCTGGTTGCGGTGGAAGAGTCGGAGGGGGATGTTTCATGTGGGAGAGTTTGACATCAATATAGTGTATGTCATCTTTATCTGGAAAGAAGAAATATGGAATGGAAGGAAAAGACAAGAAAATTGTCAATACAGAAATAAAGGTTTTCATTCAATTCGGGCCAACATCAATAAAATCAGATAGTCTCTGTTGGTTTACATATATAAAATCATCTGCTTCAATGTAGTGTGTGTTTGATCTTTATCTGGAAACAGAAAAATGAAAAATGGATGGGAAGATAAGAAAATTGTTGATGCAAAGTCCTGAGACATCTTTAATAAAATCTCCACCCTCTGGAGAGCATTCTGTTTCTATGTAACCATACACATGCATGATTGCATGCGGAGGGCAGATAAAGGATTTCATCTGTCATACAAAGCTTTCAATCTTTCCCCCAGGAATAGACTAGCGCAAAGAATATGAATGTCTGGTCAAAGGATCTTCAGGGCCATGGCAGGGATTTGAACCAGGTGGCCAGTGTCATCAAACTTGTTATCAATAATAAATTCAAAAGAATTCTATGACAAATATGCTTTCAGCCAATCAAATACCATGATTTCAGTAGCTTATAACGGTTATCAAAGACTTGTTATTGAAACAAGTTTTATGAAACGGGGCCCAGAACAATTGATCCAAGTCAAGCAACAAGTCTTGAACTTTACCAACAATATCACATCTGTTTGGAACCAGAAGGACATTAACTCAAATACTTTAACACAGGGTTAACATCCTTCTGGCTCCAAATATCAGTCTGCAACTTTTTATTCAATCTCAAGTATTCAACAGATTGCTCTAATTTCTAAAAAGGGTTTGTTTGTGAACTTCTGGTAAGAGCATATCGATTTATAGAATGAACTCAAGCGGTCATTTTAAATTTTGCCTGAAATCAAACCCTAATGCTTTTCACAAGAGAGACCTAACCTAGATGCACGCAACGTTTAACATCATTACGTGAAGTCAATTACCTATTTCCATTAATTCATATAAATTACCCTAGTTTTCCATGATTGTAATTGGTCTCAGAGAGCTAATGGCGTCCAGGCTTTTAACCAATATATCGATATAAAAATTAGCTAGAAAGGATATTTATGTGTACACTGTATAAATAAAAACATATAAAAGAGTACTGGTAAGAAAAAAAAGAGAAACTATTTCCCAATTATCACTGATGCAAAGGAATGTAGTTTCCAAAACTGAAAAAATCATTCCTGTTCTACAGAGTTCATTTTAAAAGTGTTTCTACGTTTTGAATTTGATTTTGCATCATAACGATTTTTTAAATTGTAAATTTGTACCCCTCCCACCCCCCCCCCCCCAGAAAGACCCCTTTTTATAAATCAACTGGTTTTCATTCAGTAGAAGTATGAAACATAAAAAACAACAAAGTATGGAAGCAAAGGTTGCTTCATCTTTATCCCCCCCCCCTCTCTCTCTCTCTCTCTCTCGCTCTCTCTCTCTCTCTTTCTCTCTCTGATCTTCTATCTTGTCTAAATCCATCTCGCCAACTAAACATATTGTCTTCTCTAACATATCAAACATGAAAAAACATGTTTACCCTCAAATTGTCAAAACAATCCATACCAACAGTAAATCTGTATCTCATTTGATAAAATATCTTATCTTTGTTGATCCACTCTAATAATAAAAGGTAAATTTCACCTGCCTAGATCTTACAAAAGAGACAAACTTGTAGAGGATGTTCTTTTCAATTAGCCTTTTGATCACAACGTCACATTTTCCAGAACAACATTCCTGTATTTCTCATTTTTATTTCCCTTGTCACATTCGACCCTCATTTTCTCCTGTACTTCTTAAAAATAGATTCTCTTGGTTATAAGTCCACATTCTAGTTTCTTGTCACCCAAACTGAACCTTCTGAAATATATTTACTGTCTGCTGCGCCAAAAAAATCTATTCAGACAATTTGATTCATCCAAGTTAGGAAAGGAACAAGCAGGGTCTATTTTTCAATTACTCCAGTTTTCACAAAGTCAAAGCAGCACTTTCATCTCGCCGACATCAACATCTTTTTCCTTCTCCGACCTCAATTTTTTTCTTTTACAAGGGAAAGGAGTATTTTCTTGTCATTTCTATTGTAAGGAGCTCTTAAATTTCAAATCAAGTTATGCTTATTCAATCACGTGTAATCACCTCGTAGTCATATTTTGAAGATAACCTCGACCCTCTCTATTCAGTTTTGAAGACTATCTTCTTTTTTTTCTTCATCGAGCCAAGTATACAAGGTCAAACTATAAAGGCTTGTTCAGATATGAAGGGTTGACCGCCGTCAAAAAATAAATGCCACTTTTTTTTTTTAAACATGTAAATGAATCCCAGCCCAACAATACCGTCCTTTGGTAAATGGGTACCCGATATGCTATAGCGATACACATTTGGCCGCTCGGCTATGACCAGGGTAATAATGTTGGGGTGACACAATATGAGAAAGTTGCATAATTTATTATTATTTCTGATTAGGGATCCAAGCGCAAAGGTTTCATGTTATTCTTTACTTTCCTCATACCAGTTAACTTATCCCATATAATGCTGGGAAAAGTATCAGGGGTTTGGTTTTATTTGTTTATATATATATATATATATATATATATTTTTTTTTTTTTTTTTTTTTTTTTATATTTTTTTTTTGGGGGGGGGGGGGTTACTCCCTCTTAAGTAGTATAAAGAAGGGAGCCTTCAAGTATATCCAAGTTGTGTATTCCTTCTTCTTCTTGATGTAATGTCATAGTTTATTTTAAGACACAAAGTTGCTTTAAAAAATATAAAAAAGCATAAAAGGCAAACAAAACATGATGCCCTGCCGGAATATTATTTTTTTCAAAAGAAAGCAACCTCAATTAGGGAATGTGAATTAGGTCTGTCTTTTTATATACTTCTCCTCCTTTTAGCGCAACCTCTTTTCATCCATCAAAGAAAGTCTCTTCCTGCCTTCAAAATGCCAGCCACTTCAAAATGAACATAGAACTTGAGAACTGCCTTCTTGACAATAATTACATTCCAGCACATTCTCCTAATTAATGTCATCATTTCATGACAACCCTTACATCATCTTTCTCCGTCTTTATCGTGCCCCTTTCTTTACGTCCCCCGGAAAATGAACATCCCCGCCTTTGTGTGGCCAGGAACTTATACTTCACGTCAATACCAAGTTATGAAAGTAATGCTCGACACGCTCATTTCAATTACTCCACTTTACCAGAGGACAAACACGGGGCGCGCTCCGATGCTTTAATATCGAGTCGCGGCGCCCGTGGGGGACCAGCGCGACCCAATTCCCCTCCAGGCCAATATGCTTTCAACATGATGGCCAGACATAGACTTTCACTACAGTGGGAGCAAGAAGGTCATAAGCCCCAAGCAGAAAAAGGGAGGAAATGTATTTCTCATTAATAACTGGGCACAAAGAATTATTTATTGCTGCGACAATAGAAGGAGCAAGAAGGTCATAAGCCCCCAGCAGAAAAAGGGAGGAAATGTATTCCTCATTAATAACTTGGTACAAAGAATTATTTATTGCTGTGACAATAGAAGGAGCAAGAAGGTCATAAGCCCCAAGCAGAAAATTGGAGGAAGGGTATTGTTCTTCATGTTATTAAGTAGTTGTACGAGGTATTCATTTAATATCGTGGTAGTAGACTTTCATTGCAATCAAAGGCAACAAGGTCATAATTCCTAAGGCATTTACATATAAACTGGAAGGAGGAAGGGTATTTTGTTTGTACATACTAGTACTACATATTTTGTACAAAGGTATTTTCTAAAATTGCTGCAGTACACTTACACAGCAGTGAGGGCAAGAAGGTCATAAGTCCACTGGCATATGGAACTGGAGAGAGGAACAGTATTTCACTTTATATTATTAAGTAATCGGATAAAGGTATCATTTTGTCTGTTCAGTACCAAAAAGACATCAACTATGTGTAAAATGATAAGGGTTAATGTCCTAGCTCCAAACAGAAAATTTAATGAGTGGTAATCGACCTTTATAGAAGGCAAGAAGGTTGTAAGCCCCCCCCCCCCCCCCCCCCGGCATATGCAGACTGGAAGTAAGGTATTTCCTATCTACTCCTTCCATCTCTATGATAATCAATAGAAAAATGGGTTACCAATCTCCTTGGGCTCTAATTAATGCACTGCCCTACTTTATAGGTTATATTCATTTGATTCCACGTCTTCACCAAGGAGGACATCGCTTCAATAACTCACCTCCCCCATCTCATTCTCTATTAAATGCATAATGTAACCTTTAAAAAAATTGACATTTCAACACTTAGTATTCAAACATTCATACAGGTCAAGACAAGCGTTTACATATATTTTTTTTTTAAATACACCCACGGTGAAATTTCTTAGCGCTGAAAAAGGAAAAGTTACTTCTGCTACTTCTATAGGTGAAAATTTGTAGCTTTGTAAGCATTCTGATATTGTCATGAACTCAGAAACTTAAGAGATACGAAACTGCTACCCTCTCAAATCACTAAAGGATTGTAATTGTTTCAACCCTTTCCATTCTTCTAAATAACCCACTAAATCCCTTAAGCTACTGAAGAATTCCAAATGTAACAAATGTAGAATTCCAAATGTAGCATTGTAAGCATTGAACTCAAAAACTGAAGAGATACAAAACTGCTTCCACCTCAAATCACTAAAGGATTGCTGTTTCAACCCCTTCCTATATGTTCTAAATAACCCACCATAATCCCAAAAGTTACTAAACAATTCAAAATGTACCACTGTGAGCATTCTTATTTGGTCATGAACTCTGAAACGTTAGAGTTTCAAAACTTCTACCCCCTCAAATCACTAAAGGATTGCTGTTTCAACCCCTTCCTATGTTCTAAATAACCCACCATAATCCCCAAAGTTACCAAACAATTCAAAATGTACCACTGTGAGCATTCTTATTTGGTCATGAACTCTGAAACGTTAGAGTTTCAAAACTTCTACCCCCTCAAATCACTAAAGGATTGCTGTTTCAACCCCTTCCTATGTTCTAAATAACCCACCATAATCCCCAAAGTTA